ATTCAATAATAGAAAGTGCCAGGTCTGGAAATACAAACCCTAACTATAAAGTCACTTTTCATAGAAATGGAACGGCTAGTATCTCAAAAAAGAAACAGACTCTCACAAATAAAATATTGAAGTCTGAAGGAGCTTTCGAGACAACAGATGGAAAAGTTTACTTCACTGACCAACAGTTCATTATAGAACATCTCATTGACTTAGAGTCGAAATATTCTAAACTTTACAACAAACACAAAAAGTTGAAAGGAAAACAAAAACAAATGGCATATGATATTTATGAAGATGTTAACGACACAACCATACCTGCAAGTGAGGTAAAGTCAGAGGAACCGAAAAGTGACGAAAAACCGATAGAAGAAGAAAAACCAAAAACTGAAGATAAACCAAAACCAAAGTTTAGTTTCCAAACTAAACCAACTCAACCTTCATTAGCTGGTATGGGTTGGCGTCAAAGGCTTTTGGTAGCAGGTGGTTATGTAAAGTAAAGAAAAACATTGCATGAAATAAAAACATTTTTTTAAAAAATATATTTTTTTATTTTATTTGAAATGTACGTTGAGTTTGTTGGAAAGGACCGTTGGAAAACTTGTTTGTTAGATGAGAAATATGAAATTCACTGTTGTGAGCCTTTTGAAGTCAGAAACAAAAAGACAAAAAGAGTTTTAAGCGAATGGGAGCGAAATGACGGATATGCTAATATGAAGATGAGTGGAAAAAACTATTTTAAACATGTTGTCATTGCAACTCATTTTATACCGAACCCTAACAATTTACCTTTTGTAGACCATATAAACCATATAAGAAACGACAATAGACTTGAAAACTTGCGTTGGGTCACTTGTTCTGAAAACAATAAGAACATAGGCAAATTTCGAGATATTGTATTCGAATTTGTCGACGAACTAGAAGATGAAGCAATTGAAATTACAGACTATGGCGAGCATACGTTTGAGTTTTACTACTATAGCGAAGAACAAGACTCTTTCTACTTTTATACCGGCGTAAACTATAGGAAATTACAAGTATGTTTTACTAAGGCGGGCTATGCTCATGTAAACGCTAGAGATACAGATGGAAAATACGTTCAAATACATCTTAACAAATTCAAGAAGCTATATGGCATACCATTTTAAAATATTTTTTTATTTTTATAAAAATGCCCCCATATAGAATGGATAGAAAATCTGCTAGAATAAAAGCAGAGTTAGAAAGATATGGTTGGAGAGTTTCGAAGAATTTTAAATATAGGAAGGGAAGACCCATAAAAGTCTATGACAAACTGGCTGGTCTTCGCTACGAAATGGACTTAGAAACAGCACGCGCAAACTATCCAAACAGATTAGAGAGGTTAGAAGAAGAGCGACTTATGGACATGCCTTTCGATGTTTCTGAGCCGCAAGTTGAAGGACACGACGGCTTTGCCAGATTCTACTGGAAACATGACGAACAATTGCATCCTTTGAGAAGGAAAAAAGGAAAAGGTGAAGACGCACATGCTCCCATGGAAAGAACAAGATATGCATATGAAAAGTATCGTGAAGTTAGAAGTCAAATTACATCTGGTCGAACCTTTACAGTAAACTTTGACGAAGGAAAGAACAAAGAAGGCTTCATGGGTGTACTTGCTGCCATACAAGACGGAAATAAGAAAGGATACAATCTCAGACTAACCGTAACAGATTTAGATGGTCACATTTACTATGCGCATGGCAATGAACAAACAGCCGCACAACTTCTTGACGCTTTCAAGACTACAAAGAGAGAACAAATGTTTGACTCCGACTCAGACATTTTGAATGCAATTGAAGGAATTGCAAGTGTCAAGTTCGAATGGTACCAACCTAACCCTCAAGCAGTCAGACAACATGCTGGATACTTCCCGTTCATAAATAAGTCTGACATTGACTTGACAAGGTATGGAATTTACAATTCAATTGAAACAATTGTCAATGAACCTTGTATTCTTACATGTCTCAGGAACTCTGGTCTTGTTTCAGAAGAGAAGATGAAGTATCTTGAGTCATGTGTGAAGACAAGGTACATTCTTAGAGGTCAATTGGCAAAAGTTGCACCGTTGGCAAATGTCAATATCCGAGTCAACATACCTACAGCTAAAGGTTCTTCACATGACGACTATGTTGTTGACAAAGACTTACCATGGTTGAAGATTGTAATTGTCCACAACCACTTCATGTTGAACGAAAGTCTTATGTTCGGAAAAGGCAAGTGCAACATTGTCAGAGCTGTAAACATTCTTTTCGAGAAAGGTTTGTTGGAACCAATTCCAGATGACAAGCTGACAGAAACTTTTGTACCAAAAGACGAAACAAACTTTTCACTGTTAGCAAGACCAAAAGTTGTTCCAGACAAAGTTCTAGTACAAAAGAAGTACACAATTCCACAAGGAGTTGGATTGTTCGGATACCAACCTGAACCAGAAGAACTTCCAATGAGGTTGCAAGAACTTCAAGATGCTATAAACAAACTTCCATTGAGACATCCAATTGACGTCAAATTGTATTGGAGAGCATCTGAGTTAGGTCAGAAGGTTTTATATGAAACAGGTTGCTTCGACGATGTTTATGAGATAACAGGAGAAGTTTCTCAGAAGATAAGAGACTCGCTTGAATTTCCAAAAACTGGTCCGATTGGATGCGACAAGTTCGACTCAGATGAAAAGATATACTATGTCGACCTTAACGCTGCGTACATGAGATTTGTCCAATATATTCCGACTGGAATCCCAAACGAAGATGGTGAGTTCCCAGGAAGGAACTATACAGTTGGAAAAGTCATACAACAACTCTATGATATTAGGAAAGCTTCAAACCCCAAACTTGCAATGACACTCAAATTGCTTATGAATTCGACATGGGGATATTCCATTAAGAAACCTCAAGAGATGAAGAGTAAACATTATGAGAAGGTCGACAACTTTGTTGAAAGGTTTTCTCCTTTTGTTTTGAAGTACGAATTCACTCAAGGTCAAAGTGGCTTAGTAACCACATTAAAACCTATTGTCGAACATTGGTCCTATCCTCAGTTCGCAAAGGCAGTCCTTGACAACTACAACAAATTCTTCTCCGAAGTCAAATCCAAAGTGAAGGTTTACTATGAGAACATTGACGCACTCATGACGAACGAAGAAGGATACAACAAACTCATTGAAATGGGTTTAGTCGGTGAAAAGATGGGTCAATTCAAATTGGACAAAATTTTCACCGAAGTTCATGTCCTCTCCAAGCGTAAGTATTGGGGTATACTTGAAGACGGCACAGAAATAAAACATTGCATGAAGTAAAAAAATTTTTATTCGAATTTGAATTTAAATGTGGGGAATTCTTGGGAAAGGGTTCTCTCTGTTTGGAAGTAGTATCCAAGGACGCTTGGCAAAGAACTTTATAATGGCTTCCTTCTTTGCTTGCTTTATGTCGTCGAAAGGAGTGTTTTCTGGTATTTGCAGGACAATTCCGGTGTCAATTTCAATTTTAAGCGCACCTCTTCCAGACACCCAGCCTGCAATGGTCCTGTTTGACTTCAGATGGCTCAGGTAGTTCCTAACTAGCTCATTTATCTCTATAAGGTAGATTGCCTCATCTGCTGGGTCTATGTCGGTCATTGTTTCAAGACAAGTCTTTTACTTTTTCAAGACAAGTCTTTTACTTTTTCAAGACAAGTCTTTTACTTTTTCAAGACAAGTCTTTTACTTTTTCAAGACAAGTCTTTTACTTTTTCAAGACAAGTCTTTTACTTTTTCAAGACAAGACCCGTTATTTTTCAAGAAATTTTTTGGTGTAAAGTTCTCAAATTTGAGAACAGTGGTCTTGATTGAAGACGATACCCGTACTTTTTCAAGACAAGTCTTTCACTTTTTCAAGACAAGTCTTTTACTTTTTCAAGACAAGTCTTTTACTTTTTCAAGACAAGTCTTTTACTTTTTCAAGACAAGTCTTTTACTTTTTCAAGACAAGTCTTTTACTTTTTCAAGACAAGTCTTTTACTTTTTCAAGACAAGTCTTTTATTGTTTCAAGACAAGTCTTTTATTGTTTCAAGACAATGTCCGACGTACCACCAAAAAATATTTTTTTATTTTTATTGTAAGAACAGTATGACAGTCGAAGCAAAAACGTTCACGAACAAATCTAATGGCGAAACATTCACAAAAGGCACTTACAACGGTATTGAAGTCTTACGTAGAGACAAGGATGGTTATATAAATGCAACAAAGATGTGTCAGCAGTTTAGGAAAGACTTTAGAAGGTTGTTGGAAAATAAGTCCTGGGAAGAGTATTTTAAGGCATTTTGTGAAGAATATACCAACCCGCGGAAAACGGCGGGTTGCTTTTTATACAAAGTTCATGCAGGAATTCCTGATGAAATCAAACAGGTTAGAGGAACGTATGTAGACCCAAGACTTGTAAACTATATAGCAATGTGGGCTTCTCCAAAATATTGTATAGCAGTTGGAAAAATTCTGGACTCCATAGACAAGAAAGTTCATGAGAAATTAGATGAAGAAGAACTTGAAGATACAGTAGAGAATGCAAAACCTTTGTTTGAAGAAGAAGTTAGAAAAATGCATGAAAAACAAATAGAACATGAACGTGAGATATGTTCTGGTTATAGAGATTCTCCATACGAACTAGACCAATGGGAACAAGAAGATTTAAAGAGAGAATTTAGAGAATATGAACTCGCTAAGATAGCATTAGAAGCTGCAGAAAAGAAGTTAAAAGTTTGGGGTCGTTTTGTACAAAAATATTGTGAGTAAATGAACCATTTTTTTTCGACAAAAATATATTTTAGGGTAGAAGGGTATATCTACCCCGTTTTCTACCCTCTTTTCTACCCTCGTAGAAAACACACAAAATGCTTGTTTTGAGGTCGAGCCATTTTTGGCTCCACCGTATTTTTAAACCAAACTCGTTCATTTTGTGCTGAAATAAAATAAAGGTAGTCCCACCAAAAAATATTTTTTTATTTTTATTGTAAGAACATGTCAGCAACAACAGCACCAAACTCGTTAGTCATGAACCCAACTTCTATGTTAGTAGAGATGAAAAGCTTCATTCCTTCTTCATATACTTTCGAAACAGAAATCCAGAAGATAAAGCAAGAACTTCTCCAAGGAGATCTAAACTGTAGTGCGAAAGATGAAACAAATGAACAGTATCTTTATGAAATGCAGGATATTATTGACCATCTACCTAAACTTCCTGAAATACAACAACAAAAGCTCACTATTCCAGAATTCGATGAAATAGAAGTGAAACCATCTGACTCAGTTGAAATAAAGAAGTTCATACGTAATGTAAACTATGAGTTTCTTGGATTTCATTACAACCACAAAGACTGCGATATGGTATATTTCATTGACATATATAAATCTGAAGAATTTAAGACCTACGACAACTTTGTTTCGTTAGTTGCTGAGTGTGTCTTGCAGATAAGAGATAAAGATAGAAGAGGTAAGGTATGGAACCAACAGATAAAACCAGCAGCCTTTGAGTTAAAGAAGACCATCTACGCCTTACTTGTTTTAGCAGGACAAATTTCAGAATATAACGCAAAAATGAACTCACAATGTTCAAAATGTAAAGCAGCAACAAGGAAATATAACTACTCCGTCAAAGAGATAGAAAGAATGAGAAAAGACCATACTGACTTAAAGAAAGAAGTAGAGAAACCAGCAGAAGATAAAATGGACATGTTGACATTTCTGAACAAAAACTATCCAACTGCTAACGATTTCCTTCTTTCAGATGTCAAGAAGAAATATAAAGAAACCTTCGGCATAGTTAAAATTTTTGATATCCTTCGTGAAGAAATAGAAGCTACAAAACTGTTTAAAGTCATGAACCATCACAACATATACCATGTAAAACGCTTGTAAATAGTTATGGTAGAAATGAGGGTAGAAAACGGGGTAGATATACCCTTCTACCCTAAAATATATTTTTATTGAATTCTGTATAAAATTCTGAGTAAAATGACATATGGAACACATACTTTTTCAGTAAGGACATATGGGGTAGAAATGAGGGTAGAAAACGGGGTAGATATACCCTTCTACCCTAAAATATATTTTTGTCTGATTTACGCTCATTACGAAGAAGTCTTGACAAAACATTTACGAAGAAGTATATTTCCTGTGTTGTTGTCAAAATGTCATGTTGTCACACTTTTTCAGAGAAGTTCATTTAACCGAGTGACCTGGTCGCCTAAAATATATTTTATTGAATTCTGAGTAAAATGACCAAATTTCATGAATTTCCTTAAGATAGAAAATAAAAGTTAGTTTTATTTTTTTTATTTTTTTATTTTGTATGTAAGAACAGAAAATGTTAAACATTGAGTTTGAAACAGTTAGAAAGATAGACAATGAGACCAAAATAGTTAGAATAGGTGATTTAAACGTAAGATACTCAAAGAAATACAAAAAATATTCTTTGTCAGACATTTTAACACTATCTGAAAAGAAAACATCCACGACTGGGTTAAAATGCTTTACTCAGAAAATTTTGACAAAAAATCCTGAGCTTATGATATCGGTAAGATTCTATGGAACAAGAGCATATCTCATCGACAAAAGTCTTATACCAGTAGTTTTGTTCTGGATTGACCCAGTTGTTGGATATAATTTCATAACATATGGTTCATTCGATACGGAACGTTGCAGTGAAGGCTTACTTTACATCGTTCAGAAACCAAAGGACTTCAATACAAAGAGATATAAGATAGGAAGAACATTTAATATAACTCAAAGATATGACAGTATAGTCAATAGAGTTAAGGTTGTGTTTGTTAATGATATGAGAGCTGCTGAAACAGAACTACTTGAAAAGTTTGAGAAAATGTATGGTGCTCCCACGAAAGGTAAAGAAACGTTTGAAGTAGATGAGATAGATAGTGCTATAAAATTATTTGACGAAGTTGCTGAAAAATACATGTAAAGCGTTTATTTTTGGTCTTTTGTGAAAGTCAAAGACGATATGTACCAAATGCAAAGTATTTTGACAGCATGTTTTGCTCCAGATACTAAGCTTCCTAAAGACTGGTTTAGGAACCAAAGCACACAAGAACTTTTGAGCGAAATTTCTCTAGACCGAGAAAAAACGTAGTCGCCAAAACTCTATGAAAATCGTGAAGAACAGCGACTACGGAAAAAACCGTAGTCGCCAAAACTCTATGAAAACAGTGAAGAACAGCGAGTAGGGAAAAAACCCCAGTCGCCAAAACTCTATGAAAATCGTGAAAAATTGCCAAACGGTTTGAGAGGATATTATGTACATAGACTTCTTGTAAATGCTGTAGCAATGTGGGCTTCGCCTCTTCACCTAAAATATATTTTTATTGAATTCAGCAACAAAAATCATGAATTTCCTTAAGATAGAAAAAATAAAGTTAGTTTTATTTTTATTTATTTTTTTATTTTGTATGTAAAGACAGATATGTCAACATCAGAGAACACAACAACAGTTATAGTCCATGAAGCTATAAATGAAGAATATGAGTGGGTTCAGTTTAACAAACAACTCCGTCTCATTCGTTCGGTCAAAGACGATATGTACCAAATGCAAAGTATTTTGAACGCTCTTCGTTCTACAAAGCAAGCATATCATTGGTTTGAAAACCAACAGACAAAAGAACTTTTAGAAGAATTTCCTCATATGTTTGCTTCCCTCGGAAAACCGAGGAATGAGATTCCGTATGAAAATCGTAAGAATTTGCCAATAAATTTGAAAGGATATTATGTTCATAGACTTTTAGTAAATGCCGTAGCAATGTGGGCTTCACCTCGCTATGCTTGTTATATTTTCATGATGTTAGATGAAATTCATAGACAAGAACGTGAAGAGATGGAAAAGAAACTTCAAGCAAAAGATGAAGTCATTGAAGCAAAAGACAAAAACATACAGAAAAGAATACCACGTTCGGTACCAAAAGGAAAGGAAAAGAACTATAAGTATATGATTTATACTGAAGAGATGGAAAATGAAGAAGACAGAGATATGGTTATGTTGCATTTAGTCAGAAGAAACAACAAAAGCTTTTACGACTTAGCTAAGATTTACAAATCTGACAGAAATTGGTTCTATCGCGAAAACTTACCGATTTCAATGACACCAAATGAAGATGTGAAACAAATAGTTCAAGATACTTTACCTCAAACACACTATGATATTAAAGGTTGTACAATACTTACCTTCAAAGAAGATTTGCCATTGTTAAAGGAAAAAATAACAGAGTATTTTGACAACTTCAAACAAGTAGAGTAGATGAACCATTTATTTTTGGTCTTGACTTCAGATGGCTCAGGTAGCTCTATAAGGTAAATTGTCTTGTCCGAGTCCTTCTGGCATTCCGAGTCCTTCCTTCCGACAGAAAAATATTTTCCCGACAACTGGAAAAAAATTTCCCGACAACTGGAAAAAAATTTCCCGACAACTGGAAAAATTTTTCCTGTTGTTCGTCCGTAAACCATTCAAATTTTCGAAAATTGAGAACTTTTTGGTCGAACGACAGAAAAAGTTTTTCCTTCCAACAGAAAAAGTTTTTCCTTCCGACAGGAAAATATTTTCCCGACAACTGGAAAAGTTCTTCCATCCGACAGGACACAAACGAATGTCCGACGTACCACCAACCGAGTCCATTCCAAAGCCAGAAGAACCGACAGCCCCAGCACCACAACAGACTAAGACTAAAACACTTACATTTTTTACGCTTGACTTTTTACAATTTGAACTTTGTTTGCGTAGATATGAATTCTGAAAGAAGTATGAGGGTCTTGTATGACTTTGTACTTCTCCCATAGTTCATGTCTGTCAAACTTACCTGCCATGGACTCTTTCATAAGTTCCATGAAATCGTCTTCGGACAATCCAGGGAAGAGTATAATGTCAGTAAGTATTCTTTTAACATCCTTACTTAAACTCTTTGCTGTCTGTACACATATTACGACTGAGATGTTAAAGTGTCTGAGCTTCTTAAGAATTCGACACATATCTTGTTCTCTGTTCTTTAACAAAGGATGAGAAGCAAAGTCATCTAAGATAAGAAGACATCTATGAGGGTAAGTCTTCCAATCGTACGATTGCAATTTCTTCGAAATGTATTCTATCTCTTTCTGTTTGTTTCTGAAGTGTTTCTTCTCTAATATTCTCTGCATTTCCTCATTTGGGTCTTTAAACTTCGAATTTATATACTCATTTATAGCATTATACTTCAAAACTCTTCTTTGGTACTTCTTTATCCAATCTAACAACTCAGAGTCTTTTATACATACTAACTTAGACTTCTTTATAATATCTTTGAACGAATTTACGGTTTGGTCAAATTGACCAGACGTCGAACAAATAACAACTAACTCATAGAATGGGTTCTTCTCATCTAGTTCTTGTTGTTGTGCAGCCATTTTAAGATAAGTGAAAGTCTTACCCGACCCAGGTGGTGCAATTAGACCTGTTATACCATTCTGAGCAAATAAGAACTTGTCATGTATAGGCTTTATCTGAGCATTTTCCAACTTCCTCTTGTTCTTATTTAAAACATTCTCAAATTTTTTGTCAATGTCAGCAAACTTTTTTTCTAACATATTTTTAGAAAAATTAAAATTTTTATCTTTTTGAAAATGTCTAGCGATTTCGCTATCTATATTCGAGACAAACTTTTTGACAGCAAAACATCTGTCGACCATAAAATCTTACATAGTGTAAACAAGAAAGGTGAATTTGTTCTAAAGTTCTGTTTCTGGGAATATGACAAGAACCATAAAACATTACAAAGAGCAGTCTTAAAATTTGTCAATGACAGACTTGTTGACAGAGATGACGCCGATTGGAAAGATGAAGTCCAACAAAAGTTCTTAGAATGCAAAGAAGGCACATGCGCTGTTCTTGAAGATGAAATAGAAAACAGAATAGATGAGCTATTAAAGGACAAAGAACTTTTACATAAATATGGTTCTGAGAAGTTTGACATAACTCCACCAGAAAAGAAGAAGAAAGGAAAGAAAGAGAAAAAAGTAGAAGAGAAGAAAGAACCTGAACCAGAGAAGGTGAGATATGACATGTAAAAATAAAATTTTATTTTTAGAACATTTCTGGGTCAATGTCAATGTTCTCTTCCTCTTTAGGGGCAAACACTGGCTTAGACTCTAAAATCTTTTTACCTAATTTACCTTGAACTTCAACTATCTTAGACTCATAATATTCATAGTCGTCTGCTTTCTTTGGTTCATAAGGTATAACAAGTTTGTATGCTTTGCCTTCTTTAAGGTTTGAAAACCTTCTGTCAAAATTTTCTTTGACTGCTAACAAACCTTCTATGTCTAAGTCTTCAAATTTCGCACCATTTTTAGTCACAATAGCAAACTTAACTGGTTCGATGTTCCAAACTTTGTCAAATGTAGACTTTTCAAAATGGTAGAAGTAAACATTCAAATAAGCGAATGGGTCTAGTTCTTCTTTAAGTCCTGACATATATTTGTTGACTGAAATATATTTCGTCATCTTTTCTATCGGATAAAAAAATATTTTTTTTAAAATTTACTCAGAAAAATTATTTCTTTCTATATTTGCCATTCCGAACTTCGAAAAGATTTTTGACATTTGCCAAGAATGTTCGTTTAGACGCTGTCATATAACCATATTCTTGACAATATTGTTTATATTCATCGTACAATGACCTTTCATCTAAACACTCAAAGTCGTTTTCATCTATAAACAGTTCATATACACTCTTGTTTGCTTCTAACAATGTTTGTCTCTCTTCGGTATGTGGAATTTGTCTTGGATTGAACTTAGAAATATCTAATGTCATGAAATATGAGAACAAGTGGTTGTAAAAGTCAGATGTCAAAGTTTCTGCTAAGTCGTCAAAATATTCTGTATCTTGCATATGAGAATCTGACGTTCTGACAACTACATATCTTCTGTCAGAACTTTCTAACTTCATCGGAACAGTATTGTTTGAAACCATAATGAAGTTTGCAACATTTTCACAAACTCTTTGGTCTTTATACTTTCTTTCAACAACTCCAACTTTATCTGTTATAAGACTCTTCAAAGCATCTGAGTTCAAAACTTTTGTTGTATCTATACTTTGAAGTTCATTGCAAACTATAAGTTTCATATTCTCTATTGAGGAGTTAAACTTGCCACAGATGTTTTCTAAGTTTGTCATATTAGGGTTCGAATAGCCCTTAACAGTTTGCACAAAATATCTGTAAAGAATGTGTTCTTACCAGTTCCTTGTTTTCCAATTATAATGAGAGCAGTTTCATTTTTAGCACTTGGATGTTGTAAGATGTTTGCAAACCAACATAAGATATACTCATAGACTCTTTTCTTTCCATTGCATATAATTTCTTTGACATGGTCTAACCAAGCTTCTATAATATTTTCTTTCCATTCTACTTGTTCGTATTTATATCCAGTGAAGATAGAATAGAAGTTTGGAGAAGGTGTATAAAACTTTATACTCGAACTGAAAAATCTTCTAACTTTGACATAAGATATCCCAACCATCTAACATCTTCATGCCAACCTGTACAACTTTTATTTTCTTAAGTTTCTGTCTACATTCTTGTTCTGAAACTATTGTCGCTCTTGGTTTGTTAAAGACAACATCCCATTCTTTCATGACATAACATTCTGGGCAGAGTCGACATAAATCTAAACGTTTCAAATTCTCGACTGCTTTGTTATAGTCTCTAAATGGACACATATTTCTGAACGCTTGGAAGTCATAAAATCTGAAACATCTATTCTGTACATTTTATAAAAATAAAAAAAATATTTTTTTTATTCTTGACTTTGTTGTTGCATTTGTTCCATTTGTTGCATTTTGTTGTTCTTGAGCTATTTGTTGTTGAGTTGTTCTTGTAATACAATACTTTCACCAGTTGCATCTTCCAATTCGAAACTTTCTGCCGTCATTGACAAATACATAGGACATAAAAGTTTTACAGGAACAAAGTTTGCGTCAACTAATGTCAACGTTATACTTGCCAAAGTGTTTGAGTTCACTAAGGTTGAAAATTCTGCATTCGAATGAACAATAGGCAAACCAGCAGAGAAAGTGTTGTTTATACGCATGAGTATCTTTTGGTCATAGTAGTTTCTGTCAACATTTGAATAGCACTTTGAACCTAAGTTTGAAACAATATATAAAATAGGTGTGCTTAAAGTCAATGGAATAGACATTCCTTGTATGACACCTTTTCCTGTTATAGGAAACTGTTGGTAGTAAAAACCAGAAATAAGTTTTGTATTATAGCTCATATCGTTTATAGTAAACTCAGTCGGACATCCAAACATAATGAAACCCGCTCTAGTTGCAGCACATGTTACACTCGTACGTAAAGTATTAAATAAGTCAACAAAACCTGTTGGTGGTATATCTGAGTAAGTATCTTCAAAGGAGTATTTTTTACCATTCACAACAATAAAATCTTCTGGTGTCAAAAGAGCAAAACAGGCTTTAGTCGTCATTGTGTTTAAGGTTAGTTTACAATATCGTCCTTGAGGACTTTGTAAGTTTGTTGTTATAGAATTATATGACTCAGGGTTTTTAGTCGTAATAGTATAAACCACTATGTCTTCTGCCATTTACTTAGCAAATAAATTTTAATGAAATGTTGTGGTCGTCAAATATTTTTATAACGTCTGGGAAACTATATTTTAAGTTCAACGTTTCACCTCCTTTCATAACGTATATCTTGTCAATGACATTATATGAAACACCACAGCAACTAACGTCGGGTTCTATTTCTTTGATGTTTATATCGTCTGCCTCTGTCAAAAGTTTCAATAGTTCTTTCAAAACTTCATGAGGTGCAATGACATATGAGTTCACTTTTACAGGGTTGTGTTCGACCAAGTTTAACATTATACCTAAAGCTTGACAAATCTTCTCCTGAGTTTGAAGTTTGTTTTTCAGTTGTTGGTAGTCGTTTCGAATATCTGCAACAGAACTTAAGTCTCTGCTAACTTCAGGGTATGTTGGTTGTTCTTTTACAGGAACAATTGTTATACCATCTTTGTCTTCGTATGGTTTCCCCACTTCAACATCTCTTTCTTTGACATTGACAACAACACTTTGACTGTTTGTTTGAGTTGGTGAATTTAACTTCACATCTGCCACCGCCATTAAACCTTTTGAAACACTCACGCTTCTATTTTTCGGAAATGACATTTTACTTAGAATAAAAAGATGGACGTATTCGAGTATCTCTTCGAATTGAAGCAGAACAAAGTTTACACACACAAACAATACAAATACATTGACAGAATAGTTCTTTATACAAACAATGGTAAATGTTATAGAATAGCAATATTTGCTGAACCTAAATATTTCCATAAAGCAAAGAAAGTTGGTATAACCGAGATGGTGAAAGTTCTTGAAGCAGACAAAAATATAACAACAAAACTGACCGATATTTCTAAAGGTAAGTTTATAATACAATATTATATCAAAACTGGCGTACTGTCAATATTTGACGGAGAGAAGTCAGTTCAAGAACAACTTACTGACCTGCTGCCAAAATCTGCTCGATGGAAGCTGTCGTTATACCAATCTGAGGAGCCCCAGCAGGTTTCATCGAACGAATCTTCAAAAGAGCATCTTCCGTGAAAAGTGCTATTGGTTTTGTAAACTTCTTTGCTTTCAATTCATCTGGACCGTCTCTGTCACCAGTATATTGTATTTGAACTGTACCAACAGTTGAAATACCACCCATAAAGTCTTCTGAGTCAGCAAATGGAATGCCAAGCCAAAAGTTTGAACGGTCTCCATTTGTATATTGAGTTTTGAGCTCCTGTATGGGTCCATACTTTCACATATGGCATAATAGAACTTTGCATTTCAGGGTTAATGGTTGTTTGTGAAGTTGTTGTTAAAGTTCATAGCATCTAATGTCAAGTTGTATGACCTCATATCCTCAACTGTAGAATATTCTTCTCTTGGATAATATTTGCCATCTATGTTTATATGGTATTTAATACCAGGGTTGTAGAAGCAAGAATAGTCATTTATAGTTCGTCTGAACAGTACAAACATAGTATCTGCATGTTTCATTGCAGTTGTTAAGGCAATATCTGTTCTTGCACCTGGGTCAGCACTTTGGTTTCCAACTTCACCTGCAAAGTCTTTGACAGATATTTGGTGTATAGGGAACATAAGTGGAACTGCAATATATTTGGCAGCTAAAGCATTTGAAATATCTGGGTCCAACATATAGACTGCAAGTCTGCTTTCTATTCTCTTGCATTCAAATTTTTCGCATGTGAACTTAACTGGTCCCAAGCAGTTCCAGCAGCATTGAAATAATAGTTTACTTCAGTGTTGAAGTTTGAGAAACCAAAGTCTAAGTCAACTTTGTCTTTGCAAAATTCGGCGAATGACGTTTGATTTGCTCCCTTTACGTCTGTAAGAGTGAATGGGTCTTGTGTTGGTGCAATGACTAAGTTATTTTTGCTTGGAGTAAGTTCGATAGAAATTTTTCCTGCCCAGTTTGGCAAGTATCTTAAAAACCTGAAGATGAGGAAAGATGACAAAGGAACTCTAAGTTTCAATTTTACTTTGGTTACTGCTGCTGCAGTTTGTCCAGAAAGGTTAACATAAACTCCTGGAACGTTAGGGTCAAGTCTTCTTATTTTCTCAATAGTTGCATACTGGTCTGTTTGTTCTCTAGCTTGTGGTTGTACTGAGTTTCTCAAAGCGAACCATTCATAGTTTGCCCATGTTACTGTTTGAACTAAGTCAGAGTTAGAATATATCTTATATCCCATGAAAACTTCTGGAGCATATTGGTATCCGACATAGAAAATTCCATTGCAACCTTTCTTGTCAGACAACTTGGCAGAAGGTTTTATTTCAATGTCTTGTTCCACGTATAAGAATGAGTTGTCAATAGAAATAATATGAAACCTGTCGCAAGCAATATCTACTGTTGTTGAAGAACCTTCTCCAAACTCACCTACGTTTCCATAAGAAACAGCAGTTGTATATTCGTAAGTTCCAGGAACTATTTCTGACCTTCTAATGGCATTGTCGCATTCGTTATACCATTCGGAAACATTTCCATTCATGGCATCCAAAACTGTTGGCGTTATATTCTGAGCGGCGTACATTTCATATGGGTAAAAATATAGAATAGTTGGATTTATATGTCATAATAGAACCCACGTGGACCAAGCTTTACTTTCTTCCTGACTGAGTTTTTAACTCTTCTTTTTCCTTCATTGCCACTACTTTCACTAGATGAAGTTACTTCTTCACTACTTTCACTTTGTTCTACTCTTCTCTTCTTCTTTGGTGTCGCTTTTGGTAACTTGCCCTCTGCTTCAAGTTGTTGCATCTTTGCCTCATGTTCACCTAGTATGTTGTAAATTTCCCATGTCCTTTTTGCCTTTGGGCTCTGGTCGCCCATCTCAGGTAACCTATATCCTAGAAAGAGTTTGTCATAGTTTGTATTTGAGTCTTTGCGTTTTTTGCATGACTCTTTCCTGAGTTTCCGGTTCAAGCTCTTCAAACAGTGCCTGTCCATATGGAATAAGCTCGTTTCCAAATATATGTTTTTGTAGCCATTCTGGTTTTCTTTCCATGTTACCAACTATATCTTTTGTGAATGGGAAAGCTTTTACCCAATCTTTCAGTCTTGCGTCGTTTATTTCTGTAGTTGGTTTTATTTTGTCAAGGAACATGTTTTTCAATACTAACATTTCATTTGGTACTGTCCATTTGAGTTTTCTTAAATATTCATCCCTTCTCAGTTCATCATCTGCAAAGTAAGTTTTTATGACATTTTGTAAACTTTCATTTGCAAGGTCATGTACAATAGGTTCTCTTCCTTCTCTGTCCATAACTTTCTTTCTAAACTCTTCACCAAATATACCATCTCTATGGTTCTGTGTAGTTCTTTGAGATAAATGTTCTAGAACGTCAGGTGTTATATTTCCATCAGCCATGTTCATTTCATACTGGTTCCAAAATATCTGCATGTTTCATATCTTTCAATGGCATTAAAGCCGCGCTTAAAATACCAGCTATATCTCGTTCACCATTGACTTCCATTGCGTCTACAACTTCTTGGAATTGTGGTTGTAAGTTTATGAACCACCTATCCGGATTAGCTTTATGACCCCATCTCATTGTAGTTCCATCGTCTGCAGAAACAAAAGTAGGTTTGTTTCCATCTTGGTTAGGTTCTGAATGAACTTTAAACAATGTTTCATTTCTATATGTTTTCTTGAAATTTAACCTTTTATTTTCACCGAGTTCATCCGAAGATTGAACGTTAAATGCTCGTAAGTAAAAAGGGTTGTTGTATTTGTGTACATTTTCTTTCAGTACTTCCATTCTATGCTGAATATTTTCATCTGGTGTTGGAGTCTTTTGTATGTCGGCAAACATTTTTCGATATTCTTCTACTATGTCAGCCGAATTTTTTTAGACTCTTGGAAAATTCCATATTCTCCGCATACACTTGTTGAGGGTCAAGATTTTTCGGCTGTTCAAATCTTCATCTAGTTCTGTGAAGTTAGTTTCCAAAGGAAGGGCTTGTTCGTTTCCTTCAGGCTCTTCTAGCTGTTGTTGCTGAACTATTTCTTCCATGTCTGGTTGTATCTGAAATTCTTCCTGTGGAGTTTCTTGTACCTCATCTGCTGGCTTTTCATATATTCCGAGACCGTTTTCAACAAGTTCCCTATTTAAGTCATCCGCATTCATAAGCCTTTGTTCTTTCGTTCCGTCTCTATTTTTTACGCGTTTCATGAAGATAGTTGAATTGTCATTTAGCTCTGACACCAAATATCTCGGAGTAAATTCGTTCATGTCATTTGGATGATATGCTATTAAATCATATCCCTTAGCGAGCTTGTATTTTCCAGGTTTGAAATTATATCCGATTTGGTGCTGAGCCATAAAGCTAAATAGGTTCGGGTCAGTATTTCCTTCATTGAACTTTCTAATAGCTTCTTTATATCTGTCACTAAAGTCAATAGTATCTGAGTAACCATACTCTTCTTTAAGCATTTTAAGAATTCTTGTTTCCTTGTTCTCTACTTCTTTTATGTCCTTGCTCTGTTTTGGTTGTTGTTGTGCTGGATTTTGAACTGTTGGTTGTTTGCTGGATTTTGAACTGTTGGTTGTTGTGGTGTTTGTGCTGGTTTTGGTGCATGCCTGTGTCTGTGTCCATGTGACGATGTAAATGTTTTAGGTAGTCCTGGTGCAGGTGCTTCTCTTGGAGGGTTTGGTGGTATATAAATTCAACAGCTGGTATATAAGTTCCACCAGCTGGTATATAAGTTCCACAGCTGGCATAGTATTCCATCTGCAGCGTAATGTCCTACCTGACTTTTCGTTCTTAAGAAAGCATTTACTAGGTCTGTTTTTGGTCTGTTGTAACTCTTTTTCTTGACTTTCCACAACAGTTGCTCTAACGGCGTCATAGGCACTTTGAACTGCCTGTCTCGTTGCTGCATCTGTTATTTTCGTCATATTTTGTGCTACTTCTCTTAACTCTTTGTCGAAACCTTCAGACTTCAGTTTCTTTCCAGATGAGAAGTCGTTCACTTGTTTCACCTTACTATGAAGAGCTTCGAAAGCGTTCTTAAAGTCAGCATTTGTTAAAGCTTCATTTGAACTGTCTTCATCCGCTTGTATTTTTGTCCTTATTGACCCTATAAGCTGGGCTGCTTTAGCGTTGGCTTGGGCATCTAACCAGTCATTGTTAGCTTTTATATATTCTGAGCTTTTCATTGCCTTTTGCATGGCTGCGTCGTTATTTTTACTTTCTTGTGCTAAGTTTTCATACTGTACGGTTTGGTTTTGCAACTGTAAAAGTTTTTCTGCCTTTACATTTGCTTCAACTTCTTTTTTATACTCATCGCTATCCATATATGTCTTCAGGGCTTTTTGTTTTATTTCTTCATCTTTCAGTACTTTATATTGAGTAGTATGGTTTTTCAAATTTATGACATCTTGTTCCATTTTTGCTACTTCTGCTGCTTTTTCTGACACTTTTTTCGCATATTCCTCTGTACTTAGTTCTTTCAGTTGTTCTTCTTTCTTCTTTTTCTCTACGTTTAACTCATTGAGTTTCTTTGTGTGTCTGTCATATTCTAGTTTCTTTTCGTTTTCACTTATTTGCTTCTGTATGTCTATGTTTGACTTTTTGACATCTGTTATTTGATTTTTGAGTGAACTCAAATTCATTTGACTTTGAGGGTTATAGGCTGTTCCGTCTGCAGCTCCACCATAGCCTGCCATTTTCGCTAAAAGTGCCGCTCTTAAACCTCCACTCTGTGCACCAATAACTCGGTTTAAAAGCATAGGGTTGCTTGACATTTGTTGCAACATAGTGGGGTCATTCAGCATTTGTTGTTGCAACTGTTGTTGTGGTGTCAGTTTTACTTTTGGATGTTTCAATGCTCCCTTCCTCTTACGTATATTCTTACGTAGCTTACGTGGCATTTTAAGTGAAGTTAAAAAGCGGCTTTTGACAGATGGAACACATACTTTTTCAGTAAGTACATATGGGGTAGAAAAGAGGGTAGAAAACGGGGTAGATATACCCTTCTACCCTAAAATATATTTTTGTCTGATTTTACGAAGAAGTCTTGACAAAACATTTACGAAGAAGTCTTGACAAAACATTTACGAAGAAGTCTTGACAAAACATTTACGAAGAAGTCTTGACAAAACATTTACGAAGAAGTCTTGACAAAACATGAAAACATATATAATTTGTGAAAAGCTCCTGGAAGACCTCCGAATAAAAACTTCATTTATGTGGGCTAGAAGGCACGAAGTGCCTGGAAGGTCACCCCAAGAAAAAAAAACTTCATTATACCAATCATCCTCAGGGCTAGAAGGCACGAAGTGCCTGGAAGCCCCAATACCTTTTTTTTTTTTTTTTTTTTTTTTTGAATTGAATTTGGTAATATATAATAAACAGGATTTTTAAATTTCAAGGAAAAATAGCTTTTGTGAATACTTTTGAGAACTCTTCTCAAAGATCATGATTCAAATATATTAAAGAGCCAAAATATTAGAGATGAGTTCATAATCAAAATTTTACATTTTAATTATTTAGAAAAACGTATTAACCTCAATAAAAAATATCTCAAAGATTAATAGTTAATTTAGGGTTTCCTAGCTATCTAGAGGGAATTGTTCCTTATGATGTATATATTTATAATGTATGCATCATAAGGAACAATTCCCTCGCTGAAGTGAGAAAACTTGTTCGCAATTGTTTATCATTTCGAACAAGTTTTCTCGTTTTTAATAACAAACTAAAGGCTATGAGGCACTGATTATATATTAGTGCCTCATAGCCTTTAGTCCCCTGTAGAAAAGATCGAAATTTTATTGTGATTTTAACTGATCTATATTTCGCTTGCGTTATTTGAATCTTTTCTTTTGCATATGTCATTCCTTTCACTTTTCGAATTTCATTTGCCTGCATGCTTTCTCGTTTTGGTTGAAAATCAACTCAATCTTAAAATGAACTTCTTCATTCTTTACAATAAATTCAATTTTTTTCGAGATATATCTTTATCTACCCCTATGTGAGCGAGAGAGGGTCAAAGTTGCTATTTGTCACTTTTCCACAAGAATATAATGGGGAAAAAGTTATCATATATTTGATCTCATTCACTGAGGTGAGAGATTCATGTAGTGTAATGTGATAAACATTGTGATTGCTGCTCTAAGTCCTAGGTTCGAGACACATTGGCTTCATTTTTCTCTTTTTTATTGACGTAAACTATTCAATTTTTGTGTTCTCCATTCAAATTTCAGAATTTTTTTTGCAGATTTCACGCTACATTCGAAGTTACCTTTTGTAACAACCACCACTGCCTACGAAAGACGAAAGTGTGTCACGATTTCACCCGGAAATCCGACGGTTGTTTAAGAGTAAGCACTTTTGGCACCTACTCTCAACATTTAAGGTTAATTTAAGAGTATGCACTTTTGTCACCTACTCACTATGTGAGCTGCATATTCTTTCTCGCTAAATTCTTTTGATTCTTTAGAGCTAAAAATCAAGTTTAATAAAAATAATGTTTATTCATAATTTTGAAAACCAAATTCAAATTTGAATGAGAATTTTTGAAAAAATATAGAATATTTCAATAGTTTGGAATCTCTTCAACTTCCCACTGCTTATTAACACAATTTTTCCAGAGCGGTTTATCATCCTTGGTCCATTTCTTAAATTTGTTGTAAACCTCTCTTGGAGTGTATGGTCGAACTCCAATTTTTGGATGAGCGCCATGTGGCATGTCATTGTATTTTTGCCTGAATTCTTCCAATTCCTGATTGATGCTCTCAAATTCTGAAGACTTTGGAGCATTTTTGTCCAGTGATGGCCAGAGGCGTTCAATTTTGCCATTTTGACGTGGCATGTATGGAGCTGATTTTCTGATTTGAATGTCATAAGTACTCAAAAATTTTGTGAACTCTCCCTCATTTTCTTTACCGTTATCTGACCAGAAACAGAAAGGTGCTCCATATTTTTGAACTGTTGCAATTGCCACTTTTGAAGTTTCTGTTGAACTTTTGTTACGAAGCAATTTCAATGCTAACAAATAACGACTTTTGTCATCAATTATTCCATAAACCGGTAAAGTTTCTGGTTCTTTCAAAAAATGAATATCCACATGCCAGATTGTATTTGGAAGAATTGCTTCATAATCCACATAATATGCTTTTGGATTACTTTTATCTTTTTCTTTGTAAATTCCCAGAAATTTTGCTGCCTTAATAACTGCATTGTAACTGATTTGAAATTGTTTTGGATTCATATTGAGAGTCCAATACAATTTTTGAACCCCACATTTGTAATTTTCATAAGAATTCTGAACCTTCAAAATTAATTCTGGAGTTAATTCCTCTTGTGGAGGACCACTTTTAATTTTTGGTGTACCACCGATTTCTTTGAATGCTTTTTTGAGAGTATTTCTTGAAATTTGTTTGAAAATTGTAACATTTTGATAAGAATATGGAACTTTTTTCAAAACTGTTGCGTAAGTTAACTCACCACTTTCAAGTTTTTCATACATATATCTTACCCATTCATTAGTTAGTATACATATCAAGGGTACGGAGGCACTGCGCGCCACCTTACCCTTGATATGCGAATTTGACACTTTACAAAACCGTTAACGTATATTTTACAACACAAACGACAACACTAACTTAACCTTAAATATTTACAAAGCCGCCAACCACTTCACCTCACTAACGTTTTCACAAACGACTTCACTACTGTAAAAATAAACGTTCTCACTTACAAAAGTATTGCAACTCCTCCCATTGCTGTGCTTCATATAACAGCTCATAATCTTCTGACTCACTTTCTTCTTCATATAGGTCAAAATCACTGTCATAGTTTATACCTGTAAGTTTTGACAAAGCTAATGAAACACGCTTACCGTTTGTATCATATGCTTGTATAAACTTTCCATTATGCTTGTAGTCATAAACGCTCAAACTAACTTTACCCTTTCTCCCTCGTATCTGATAGAATGTATTTTCACGAGGAACGAAGAACAAATTCTTGAACTCATGACCGTTGTAGTTTGTTATCTCAATAGTTTTCGTCATTTATATAAAAATAAAATAAAAAATAAACTTAAAAATTAATGATATCACCACCCTCACACGTATGAAAACATAGCACAAAAATAAACTTAGGTGAAGAGGTTAGATCTCACCTCTTTTTTCACCTGTTTTTTCACCCTGTTGAATTCATTGCTTTATAACTCTCTTCCTTTCTCCAACTCTTCTAACTTCTTCTTAAGTTCAGCAATGTTGTCCTCATGAAGTTTAATCTTCCTTAATATACCTTCTCTATCTAATGGTTGCTTTATCTTTCTAAACTGAACTCTACCATCCTTCATAGTATGAATGTAAAAACCTTCTGGAATAGTTCCTGATTTAATATATTCTACCAAAAACTTTTGTTTCATTGCTTCAGTGACTTTATTTGTCATTTCAATCAAATAAAAATTTTAATATTAAATAAAAATAACGTTATTTTTTCAGTAAGGAAACGCAGGAGTTTTACGATTTATTTGAGGAGTAGGTTCTGGTTTAAATGTTGGAGTCGGTTTAGGAGTTGACTTTTGAACAGGAGTTTGTACTTCCATAGGTTCAGGAGTCATTGAAGGTTTTGCTTGTGAAGGCGTTGGTTTTGGCGAAGGTGTTGGAGTTTGTTTAACTTCAGCTACTTCAGTATTATTTACAACATTTGTTTATTTCTTTTCAACATCATAACTGCTCCTGCTGTAGCTAGCAAACCTAGTGGGAGACCATATCTTATATAAGGACTTGACCAAATGCTATTTTTGACAGGAGCTGGTGGAACACCTAACCTTGGTGAGACTGCTCTTTGCCATTGTGCAGCTCGTAAGAAATATTCAATAGGTGCTCCATAATCGTTTGGTAAAGTTTGTTTCATAGATGGTGAAGGTTCACGAGAGCTTGATGAAGAACTCATTTATAAGCTTTAAAAATAAACGTTCATCCTTTATTCCTCACTGTCGTCCGTAGCTAAGTTATAGTCATCTAATCTTATTATGGGATGCCATTAGCACGCACCTGAATGGCAAAGCAACAATCCCTCATAAATCCAATAAGTGGCTTTGGTACATTTTCAGTTGCTAGTTCAATAGGTCCTTTAACAGACAATTTGTATGTTATTGGAGCAGTAGATGTTTGACCTTGCTGGAAGCAAAAGTCCACTTCTGTTGGAAAACCACATAAGAAATGTGTGTTGTCATAGCTATCCCATTTATGTTCCACACTACCATCATCCACCAATGACCTCATAACATCTTCATTAAATCCTATCATATCATTGTTTGTATTGCAGGCGTTCGCAACCATTTCATAAAATACAGGTCCATATGATTTTTCGGTTCTGCAGGCATATTTCCATAAGCTCCCATGGAAAGCTGAAGATATTTAAACTTAGGGTTCTCAAAATTAACATAATAGTTGTCTTTCTTTCTAAATAGTGCCCAAATACTTTTAACATTAATAGGCGTATAAGCTGCTGTAAATGTTGCACTTGAACTATCTGTATTCTTTGAGAATGAACCGTCCATAGGAATCCAATCCATAACTTTAACAGGAAAACATAAAGCCTCGTTTGTATAATGTTCTACAAGTTCTGTATAAATGTTAGGGTCTAAAGAGAATGACTTTGGATGAATGAAACATTCATTAAAATCCATCTTTGTTCGAAATAGTTGCTGGGTTACAGTTGTAATAGTAACTGTTCCACTAGCTTCACTGCCTTCGTTATCATAGTGAATGGTTATTCATAAGGAACAAATTTATTTGTCGGTGGATTTGAATCTGAAGCAAATGCAACTTTAAGAGTTGGATTGAAAGCAATGATATCATTTACAGATATAGATGTGCATTGTAAGGCGTCGCTACTGAACTTTACTTTAAGCTGAATGTTTCCTGCAAAAGCTGGAATAAATCGAATAGCTTCTAATGGAAGGAATCTTCTAACAGGAATTCTTAAACGAAGCTTAAAATCAAATGATTTTCCTGCTGTAATTGGACCACTAACAATTTGTCCTGTTCTGCATGTTCCCGAATGACTCCATACATCTTCATGTCGAGTCTTTGAGAAAACATCTACTTTCTTTATTTGTTCGGTAGTTTGTGTGAGTTTGAAGTTATATATGCTTCTTCTCTTGCGTTGTCTTGAGAATATACGATACGACCATTTGCAAGGATTTGATATCCAGCAACTGCATAGAAAGCGTCATCGAAACCAATCCAAAATCCTGGTGGGTTTGTTTTATTGGAACCTGAACCAATTTCTTTATCTACAATAAATTGACCTTCCATTTTATACGTAATGAATGTATTGTAAAGGTCCAACATATTTTCACCAGGAGGTGAGAGATTGAATGTTACCCATGTGTTATCTTTAGCAGTTCCAGGTTGTGATGGAATCTTTGCGTCAGAATATTTTCTATTAGTGTCACCAATTTGAACTGCATTGTCTATGATATCGAAATATGAGCGAATCTGATGAATATGCTCTGCTGGAGTAAATTCGTTTAACTGTTCGTTCTGCATGTATTTACTTCAGATAAAAATATCTATTTACTTCATTATTCTCACTCTTCTTCTTGGCATTCGTGGTGGAAGTTGTTTCTTGACATTTTCAATGAACTGTACATTCTCTTTTGTCTCAACTTCTTTCACTGGCGGGTCAGGATTCTTTGACTCGGTTTGTTTTTCAATGAAATTCACGAACTTTGCAATAAGCTCTTGGTTCGTTATTGAATACATCTGGCTTCTTTTCTTCTGGTTCTATTGGTGGCTCAGTTTGAACAGAAGGTTTTATATGGGCTTCGCCCTCGGTGCCATGCACCTTAATGTTGTCGCTTTCTGCATTCGCTAATGGAACCTTTCTTTTTCTTACATATATTTTACCATCTTTACTCTGACTTACGTAATAGAAAGGATGTTGTATTCCTCTTGCGTCATTTAATATAATAGACTCTCGCTCTGATTTTGACAAGCTCATTTTACATCGGTTAAAGTTTTAATTTTGTTTTTTATCTGCAGTCAAATGACTCAGACAAGCCCTACGGACAAGACCCAAGGGGTCATAGATGTTGAAGCATTGAAGAAAGAAATTCGTGAGCAAATTTTATCCGAACTGAAGGAACAAAAACAAGAACAAAAGCCAGAGAGACCAAAGAGAAAACTTAGTGAAAAACAACTTGCTGCATTAGCTGCTGGAAGACAAAAGAACCCAAGACTACTGGCGAAAAAAGCTAGAGAAGAAGCTGAAGCAAAAGCTAAAGAAGCTGAAGCAAAGAAAGAGTAAATGGTTTATTTTTATCCGAATTAAATGTATAGACAAATACCTTTATCTGTTGCGTTCAGTAGTGAAAACCCTGACGTCAAAATAAAGGGGAACAGAGTAACGTTTAAGTTTCCAACAGACTGGATTGTGAACATAAATGAAGAGAAGTACATTGGCATAACAATGTATATAACACGTGCTTTCAGAAAGGTTGACTTTATACTTCAAGTCGAGATAGAAAATGACGAACAGTCTTTAAGCGCCCAAAACATTCACATATACAAATACTTTAAAGACGATACAACATTGCTACAATGTATGATTTCATTTAATGAGATGTTCGAGAAAAAGTTTAACATTGAAGTACAAACTTTACAGCCTTTATGTGAGTTTCTTGCACAACTGAAAGAAGAAGGTAGTCAGCCACAACTTATAGACTTTCATTATGAATTTAATGAAAATGAAGATGGAACTCATGACTGTCAGTTTGTTATATATTCACCATTCAATGAAGTAGCTAAAAAGAAAGAAAATCCATTACGTATAAGATTTCAAATCTCTGAACCAAGTGATGATTTCAAGAATGTTTTCAATTATGATGCAATGCTTCCGAGGAAAAATGATTTTTCCGAAATTAGATTTCCAGGTATTTGGGATAGAAAACAAGCTAATTATATTCAAACTTAAGTAAGGAGTTGAAAATGAGTTCATTGGTCATACAAGAACTTCACCACTTCCTAATCCTAAATACTATAAATTAACTGGCTTCAATCGTGAGTTTTGGATAGACATGTTCTCCACTCATGACCATAACTGCCCAGTGTTCTTACCTCCAGACCATAAGGACTGTCTCTATATTGAAGCACAACTCTTAAACTCTACCATCGCAGTATTGTAAATGACCACATGGGCTTATTTTTATCACGAATGACCTCATTGCTGACAAAAATAAATGACCTCAGAACTTCAACTTACGAATAAAGCTTGTTTTAGTCGTTATTGAGAAGTTAAACTTTTCAGCAAAGCAAGGACTAGAAGACTTACATAAGTCAAATCCAATCTCTTGACCGTCATAAAGTGCTTTATATAACTTCATAACACTGAACTCAGAGTCTTTGTCAAATTTTCCTTGTGGAACCATTAAACCTTTATCTTCATCATAGAAACACTGAACAGAGTCAGGAAACATTTCATTAGCTGTTAAAGCAAGAACGTCTTGTTTTACACCTTTACAACGTGCATGAAATGCAACTTCATTTAAATCATTCGTGAGTAAGTCTATGTAAGTCTTCTTTCCACAAAATATTGACTTGTATGCTAAACTTTGTTTATCTTTTGTGATTTCTGCAAAGTCGCTATGAAATTGACCAAGGTTTTTACCAATGAGAACTCTTCCATAACGTTTCTCAAACTCTTCAGCTAAACGAGGGATATCTTCATTGTAGAGATGCATACTGTCCGTATCGCTATAAAAGATGTCCATTCCTAAGTCCTCAGCAGTACAGAATACTTCACACATTATTCTCTTCGACATAGACAGAATGTTAACACCAAGTGGACAGAAGTTAAAGTGTCTGCAAATGCTTTTCGTTAGCTTGAAAATAGTTTTATCTGAACCATCCAAACCTTCGAACTTCACTATATGGTTGTAGTTTCTGATGGCATATCTTATAGCATCTTTGTCATTTACTATGGTTATTTTTGACTCAATAGGAGATAGAATAGTTTTGCCATAAATACTGTTCAGAATGAGCTTTATATTTTCTTGCAAAGGATTTCCTTCTTTCTTATACTTTAACCTTAACTCAAACAACTTCTTTACTTCATCTCTTATTCTAATATCTCTGTTTCCATCGTAATAGTATCCTTGCAACACTTCACATTTGACACCTTGATATTTTATGAGGTCTTGTAATGTTATATGGTCAACATACATTAAACAGCAAGTGTTTGAACTTCTGGGAACGTTAAGTTCTGGATTTAGTTCAGGGTCACAAACTATTAAAGGAAAGTGTCTATGTATTCCAATCTCTGTTATCTTAATGAGAACAAAGAAGCCAGATATAAACTTTTCACCAATGGGTTCCTTTTGGTCGTCATCGAATAAATGTCTCATGAGATACTCTGTGCTTAACATTTCTTTCTTCATAACCTTTGGAATACCTTCTAAAGTATAAAGTCTTGCTATAGCGGATGGATATAATGAAACAGCGTCGAAGTCAGCAATGAGTTTCTTTTCGCTCTTTTGTTTCATGTTATCTGACAGCATACATCTTCCACCTTGAATACAGCGTGAAATAAATTCTCTTGGTTTATTTGAGAGGTCATATAAATTTCCATTCTGGAAGTACACTCTGTTCTCAAATAATTTGTTAGCAATAGAACAAATACTAACGTAGTCATATACGTTTAAATCAAACTCTTTCAATATGTCATTGCGGAACTTAACAAAACCTTCTCTTAAAATTCTTACATCTTGTTTGCAATAGAATGTGCTATATTTTTCTAAGTCGAAGTGGTTCGCATCTATTCTGCAACCTTTGATGGAATCTATGTTTTTCATGAATGTATCTGCATCCCGGATAAACTTACATGCTTCAGAAATAACACCAGTTCTGTTGTCATTTGCTAACAAAACACTGCTGTAGTAGTTGTATGGAAATACTTCTTTCGGTCCTGTTTGTAAGTTAAACATAGCAGGAAATAGTTTAAGCTTCTTATTTATAACACTATAAGAGTCTTTTATAATAATTGCCCTTCCTTTATATAAGCCAGTTATTTGCATTGTTCGTGAACCTTTAATGATGGGAGTTCCTTTCACTTCTGTCATGTGTCTTAAGATGAAGTTTATATCATAACTGAGGTTATGGAAATATATTAAACTCTTGTCAGGAAGTCGTTCCAAAAATTCTGTTGCACAGTTCTGACCCCAAATGCTTTCACTCACTGAACCATCTTCACTGTCATAACAGATGTTAAAAGGCTTTATGAAAGCCATCGTACTGCACTCAAAGTCAGCAAAGAAAACGTGCTCAGGAATGAACTTGCACTTATTTTTATTTACTTCTTTTGACTCGGCTTTCTTCTTCAGTTGTACACAATACTTTGGAGCATATGTCAAATCTTTAAATGGTGCAAGGTTCTGTTTATATAAGTCAGTCGTATATGTGAAAAGTTCTCCATAAGAAATAGGTTCGAAATATTTGCACTCCCACAATGTTTTCATAACATCCCATAACGGTGTTGTTCTATCATAACGAACAATATATTTGTTCTCTCTCTTTGTATAAATCTTCATCTGTTTCTCAATGTTCATTCCACCACACTCCTTCAAGATTTCTATATAGTTGCGAATGAAATATGTTGTCATTGGTAATCTTTCATTTAGCATGTAGTGGTCTTCAACAAGAAGTAAGTCAATAGTTCGAACAGTTTTACATTCTTTTGGTATGTATCTCTTTATTTCATTATGTCTTGAGTCATTGAAGTAACCAATGGTAACATTAAATGCTATACCTGTTGCGTCAGAAATTTCTTGTACTTTACTTTGAGGAAAGTCTCTAACACGAATGACTTCTCTCATGTGGTCAATAGTTTCTTCATTTACTCCAGCCTGAATGCAAGCATAAACGAAGCAGTTATCTTCTGTCATAAGTGTTGCAGTTCTTTTGTTCAGTTCATTGAAGATTTGGTAGCGCTCAAGATTTATAGGTAATGTGCAAAGATACTTCCAGAACTGACCGCTTCTCTTCTTATAAAACTTCTTTTCACCATTATCTTTCCAAAAGCTTTCTATAAGTGCTGGGTTTCCTGTTTGCTTAAGAGCTTCCAAAATGGCTTTCTGGTCATTTGTCAGTGTGCTTTCATCTCTATATGGTCTCTTTTTTGGTTTGCCTTTCTTTACATCTGACATCGTTAAGCCTTCATATTCTGTTAAATCATACATCTTTATTTCAGTAAGATTCTTTATGTTTGTCAAGAAGAAGTCATAGTGCATTTCAACAATACCTGCAGCATTTGCTTCTATCTCTGATATAAAGTTCTCCTTCAAGAGCTGATGTAGTAATGTTCCAATATTATTGAGGTTTAACGTAGAACATTCATACTTTCCACCAAGTTTATAACATACCATCCATCTCTGTTGTGAGTTTATTTTAATTTTCTCTAAGAGTCTCATGAAAACCTTACCGAAATGTTTGTGTAAGTAGTCTCTGTTTGGTTCATCTAAAGCTTCGATGTTAAAGTCAATGAGTCTATTGCCTGACTTCACATTTCTCTTCCTATTCTCTTCATCTTTCTTTAACCATCTCTCACCTTCTTTTGGTTTGTCGTCAATGGAACGAATGACATCGTTAGCTTTGCGAACTTGTTCTATAGCGCTCTTAAACATCTCTCTTCTCTGTTGTTTCAGTGTGTCGTCTCTTCTTCTTGTTTCACCAACGTTTGCATTTGTTATGTCAAACATTTCTCTTCTTACTTCATGAGGTACTGAACGTCTATGATATAAGTCAATAGCAACGTCATTTAAAGGAAATGCTCTTGCATGGACTTCGTCCTCGCCGCGTTGCGGCTTTATGAACTCATGAATTCTATCATAACTTATTGCACCATTATAGTCATTGAGGATGTCAGCGAGTGCTTTTTTGTTTGTTGCGTAATGCTTTGCAACATCTATATTAGCTTCTGTAAGAAGTTGTTTTATTTCCGAGTGTTCTAACTTAGACAACTTCCGATACATCTTTAGTAGGAAATAAAAAAATATTTTTTGAAAAAATTAGATTAGATTTTTTTAAGTTATTTTTCAAAATAATTTAATATTTTTATTTTAATGAAACACATGCAAGATTGCAAGTTCTTTTCATACAATGCTCTCGCTACTGCCATCAAGAATGAGTTCAATAATGCTTCAAATGTTAATGTTATCTTTAACAAGAAGTTTGTGAAAGAATCTAAGTTTGGTCAGTATGTCAGACCATTAGCTATCGTCATTGACCGCAAACGTTATACTTCACAAGAGTTAGCAGTAGTTTTGAAACAAAAGAGTTTCTTCGTGAATGTCAAAGATACTCATTATACTGTCATAAAGAACTCTAACGTTGACTTCTTCAGTATTGCTTTAAATCTTTCCGAACAGAAAGAATATAAGAAGGGTGAAACAAATGTGAAATATTATCCTTCATCTCTGAAGACAATAACGAACAAAGATGTTATACAGAAATTCTACCAAAGGTTGAAGAAGCTTCTATTGACATTGACGAAGGAAGTGAAATGGTTGAAGAAATAGACCCTGAAGCTATTTAAGCAAAAATATATTTTTGGTTAGTCTTCATATGGATATTTTACAACAATTCCCCAATGTATAAACTTTTCATACGCTTTTTCATTAGCTTTATATACCTTCAGAAATTTTGCATAATCTTTAGAAGCATTTAGATATTGTTTAAATGCTTTGTATGTCTTCAGAAATTTTGCATAATCTTTTACATGTTGTTCGTTCTCTTCTTCTGTCATGAGTTCCGAATATTCTAAATTCATGTTCTTTCATATGAGATAAAATTTTATAAAAAAATAAAATTAGCTTAGATTTTTTTATTCTTCCTCTTTGAAGTTATCGAAATATTCTGTTATTTTTTCCTTCAGTAATGTTAAGTCTTCTTTGAATGTAAGTATTGTGCAACCTTTGATGTCATAGTGTGTTTGAGGAAGAGTATTTTTGACAATTTCCTTTATTTGCTCATTCAGTGTCATTGAAATCGGTAAGTTTTCACGATAGAACCAGTTTCTGTCAGATTTATATATTTTAGCTAAGTCATAAAAGCTTTTGTTGTTTCTTCTGACTAAATGCAACATAACCATGTCACTGTCTTCTTCTTTCTCCAACTCTTCAATATATATCATATACTTATAACTCTTTTCCTTTCCTTTTGGTACTGAACGCGGTATTCTTTTCTGTATGCTTTTGTCTTTGGATTCAATGACTTCATCTTTTGCATGAAGTTTCTTTTCCATCTCTCCACGTTCTGCTTTATATAGTTCATCTAACATCATGAAAATATAACAAGCATAACGAGGTGAAGCCCACATTGCTACAGCATTTACTAAAAGTCTATGAACATAATATCCTTTCAAACCAGGAGCCAAATTCTTGCGATTTTCGTACGGAATCTCTTCTCTCGGTTTTCCGAGAGAAGCAATCATATGAGGAAATTCTTCTAAAAGTTCTTTTGTCTGTTGGTTTTCAAACCAATGATATGCTTGCTTTGTAGAACGAAGAGCATTCATTATACTTTGCATTTGGTACATGTCATCTTTGACTGAACGAATGAGTCTCAATTGTTTGTTATACTGTATGTATTCGTATTCTTCATTTATGGCTTCATGAACGATAGCAATTGTTGTGTTCTCTGATGTTGACATTACTGTCTTTACATACAAAATAAAAAAATTTGTTAGAAAAAAATTAGCGTTATTTTCTGACTTTCACAAAAGACCAAAAATAAACGCTTTACATGTCTTTTTCAGCAACTTCGTCAAATAATTTTATAGCTTTATCTATCTCATCTACTTCAAACGTTTCTTTACCTTTCGTGGGAGCACCATACATTTTCTCAAAAACTTCAAGCAGTTCTGTTTCAGCAGCTCTCATATCATTAACAAACACAACCTTGACTCTATTGACTGTACTGTCATATCTTTGAGTTATATTATATGTTCTTCCTATCTTATATCTCTTTGTATTGAAGTCCTTCGGTTTCTGAACGATGTAAAGTAAGCCTTCACTGCAACGTTCTGAGTCGAATGAACCATAAGTTATGAAGTTATATCCAACAACTGGGTCTAACCATAACAAAACTATTGGTATAAGATTTTTGTCAATGAGATATGCTGTAGTTCCATAGAATCTTACCGATATCATAAGCTCAGGATTTCTTGTCAAAATTTTCTGAGTTGAAGCATTTCTAACCCAGTGGTTTGTTTTCTTTTCAGATGGAGATATAATGTCTGACAAAGAATATTTGTTGTATTTCTTTGAGTATCTTACGTTTAAATCACCTATTCTAACCACTTTGGTGTCATTGTCAATCTTTCTAACTGTTTCAAACCCAATGTTTGACATTACTGTCTTTACATACAAAATAAAAATTTTTCTTAGAAAAAAATTAGCGTTATTTTTCTAACTAATGAAATTCATGAAATTTGGTCATTTTTCAGACAAAAATAATGTTTAGGGTAGATGGTTAGATCTAACCTGATATCTAACCTCATTTCTACCCTCATTATTTATAACCGTTTTACATGGTAAACGTTATGAATTCGTGAGATTCTAAACAGTTTTGTAGCTTCTATTTCTTCTTTTAGTACATCGAATGTTTTAACAATGCCGAAGGTTTCTTTATACTTCTTCTTGACGTCAGATAAAAGGAAATCGTCAGCAGTTGGATAGTTTTTGTTCAGAAATGTCAACATATCCATTTTATCTTCTGCTGGCTTCTCTGCCTCCCTCTTTAAATCTGCATAGTTGTTTCTCATACGTTCTATCTCTTTTACTGAATAGTTATATTTCCTAATTGCTGCTTTACATTTTGAACATTGCGGATTCATTTTTGCGTTATATTCTGAAACCTTACCTGCTAAAACAACTAAGGCGTCAATGGTTTTCTTTAAATCTGAAGCAGTTGGTTTTATCTGTTCATGCCATACTTTACCTCTTCTATCTTTATCTCTTATCTGCCATACACATTTTGCAGCTAATGAAACAAAGTTGTCGTATGTCTTAAACTCCACCGATTTATATATGTCAGAGATGTTCTTATATAACATGTCGCAATCTTTGTCCATAACTTTATGGTTGCAATGAAAACCAAGGAATTCATAATTTACTTTACGTATGAATTTCTTAATTTCTACTGAGTCAGTTGGTTTCACTTCTATTTCATCTAATTCAGGAATAGTGAGCTTTTGTTGTTGGATTTCAGGCAATTTGGGTAAATGGTCAATAATGTCCTGCATTTCATAAAGATACTGTTCATTTGTTTCATCTTTCGCACTACAGTCTAAATTACTTGTTAAAAGTTCTTGCTTTATCTTCTGGATTTCTGTTTCAAAAGTATATGAAGAAGGAATAAAGCTTTTCATCTCTACTAACATAGATGTTGGATTCATGACTAACGAGTTTGGTGCTGTTGTTGTTTGAATTGTTGTTGTGCCGATTGTTGAAATCATATCTTTTATACAAAATAAAAAAATAAATAAAAATAAAACTAACTTTATTTTTTCTATCTTAAGGAAATTCATGAAAATTCAAGAGGGTAGAAATGAGGGTAGAAATGAGGTTAGATCTAACCATCTACCCTAAACATTATTTTTGGTGTAAATTTCATTGACTGACTGACTGACTGACTGACGGCACAAAGTGGCTTAACGAAAACATTAATATATAAAATTCATGAAAATTCAAGCGGGTAGAAATGAGGGTAGAAATGAGGGTAGATCTAACCATCTACCCTAAACATTATTTTTGGTGAATTCAGCAACAAAATGAACGAGGTCAGGATGTATGTAAATACCTTTGAATTCATTTATAACGCCCTTAGTAAGCTCATAAAATGCTTGTTTTGAGGTCGAGCCACTTTTGGCTCCACCGTATTCTTTCAACCAAAACTCAAGAATTTCCTGCATGAATTTTGTATAAAAAGCAACCGTCTGAATTCAGACTGTTGCTATATTCTTCACAAAATGCCTTATAATACTCTTCCCAGGACTTATTTTCCAACAACTTTCTAAAGTCTTTCCTAAACTGACGGCGCAAAGCGCCAAGACCGAAGGTCCTGACTGACTGACTGACGGCACAAAGTGGCTTAACGAAAACATTAATATATAAAATTCATGAAAATTCATGAGGGTGAAAAAAGAGGTGAAAAAACAGGTGAGATCTCACCTCTTCACCTAAATTATATTTTTTGGTGTAAATAAATGGTACCATTAATGATATCATGACTGTTCTCATTCATGTCTGATTTACATCTAATGAAAAAGTTTAGAAGAATTTTCTTATTCTTTCTGGCTTATTTTTGTCTTTCCAGTACTCCCGCTCTAATGGTCCCAGATGTGTTGGCTTCAACTCTCTCAAGTTCTTAGATGGTATAACATCTTCAACGCCTCCTTCATATCTTACTTTATAAGTGTCATCGTTTGTGTTATAGCCAAGTATTTCAATAACCACTCCTCGCTTTGCTTCGTCAATGGTTTCAGCAATTTTGCCATTACTACTTTCGACTAATTTGTGACGAGGGTAAAACGCAATAGAGTCGTCAGCAGCTTTTATAAGATATCCATTACCTTGCGTAGAGTCTACGATATAATAATTTCGACTTAACCTTAAACGTTTCTTTGTCAACGGTTTGTCGTCAAGAACTACACGAACTTTTGTACCAGGAATGAGGGTAAATTGTGTTGAATTTCTGATATTTTGTGTTTGGCTTCGTTTCTTTTGTATATACTTTTCTTCTTGTTGTTGTGTCATTGAATTTGGTGTATGTCCTGTTGTAGAATGTGTTGAGGAATTATATACTTCGAGAAAATGTTTCATTGTTTCTTCGGTAAAGTCTCGCTCTTGGTTTAAATCTCTGAGCGTTCTTATGAAGCGGTTTATGATGCCGAGTATGTTATGGTTATGGTCTTCAGTAGTGTAGTGAGTTATGTTATGCTTAATGAGAAAATCTGTGATTTCATTGCTGAGGTATGCACTGTCTTGGTCTGATGTTAAAGTACTTGGGCTATGTTCTGCTACAAACTTTTGTAAAACTCTTAAAACTTCATGAGTTCCTTTATTCCTCATTGGATATGCATATGCTTTACGAGTGTTAACATTAATGAAGATGAGGAATGGTTTATGTCCTCCTTTTCTGCTTTGAATGAGAGTGTCAAATTGGTATGCGTCAGGAGTGTTGGAGTAAATTGGTAAAAAGTAGTCGTAAGGGTTTATTTTTGTTTGATGTACAACATTTTTGTCAAAGAACCTTTTCACTTCAGCTCTGTTAGTAAATCCCCAACTCTTTGCAGCTTCATTGAACTTCTTAAATGACCTCCATGGATGTTGTTCGAATACTTCTTTCAAGCTCATTTATGTAAAGTTAAAGATTTTATTCTAGGCTCAAGCGCGTTCAATGAACGCGGTACCATGCGAATATAGTCACAAATGGTGGCATGTAATCTGCACCCGAGCCTGTTGGATTTGTTGTGAAAGTATGGACATGATTTCCTCCCGGTTCAGTTTGTCGAAAAATCTTTTTTGCTGCATTGTTATAAGATGGAGATAAAACGTCATGGCCAGCTTCATAGTCTGAGTTGTATAATGGGTGGTCTTCTAATGAGTGGCTATGATCGCCAGAAAAGTTTGTAGTTCCTGTATGAGTGTGCGCAGGTAAGTTTGCTTCAGTAATTTTCTTCGAACCTCCTGTTTGCTTTGAAGAGTTAGCACAGTATAAGAATTTATCTACAATCTGCTTCCACGTACCAAAACCTAAAACTGTTTCTGGATTTGTTGAGTTCATTGACGTATAAATAGAGCCTATAGGATATAATGTTTGAAGTATTTCAGTCTTTAATGTTTGAAGCTCTGTTTTGTCTGCTTTCTTATCTAACATTGTTGGTAGTTCATATGCTTCAAAGTTTCTGGCATGATCTTCGATATTCCTGCAACTGTTATCTAAATTGTTTAGTGTATCTTTTACGCTTGTACTTGGATTCTCTAAAGGTGCACTTGAACCAAGGGTATAGTTCAATATTATGTCGTCTGCTCTAACAGTAGTGAAGGATTCATGTGTATGGTTCTTGTCAGCTTTACTATTTAATGTAGCTTGAAGTTCATTTATATCGGAGATATTGTGTTTATGAGATTTCAAAACTTTGTTCGTTGCATCAAGTTCATCTTTGTCAGCTTTACTTTTAATAGCATCTTCAAAAGTTATTTTTGCCTTAACTCTCAATGTAAATCTTGGTTCAACTAATACATCGTTAACAAAGAAGTATGAAGCGTGTATTTCATCGTTATAACCAAATGCTTCTTGTGCTTTACCTGTGTCATACTGTACAGTACAGTATATGTCATAACCTTTAGCACGAATGAATTTATATCTTCTTTCATTAACCTCTTTCGTCTTCACTTCTTCATCCTGTGTTAAATATCCATGGTAGTCCGTTATAATCTGTTCGTCTGAACTTATATAATGAACATGGTTTTTATCTGCTTTTTGTGAAAGAAGTTCAACAACTTTTGCTTCACTTATGTTACCAGTGTCACTTTCATTTATTTTTGTCAGCATTGCGTTCAAAACTTCATAAAGACTAACTACTTCTTTTGGTTCTTGAAACAATGAGTCAAAAGTCTTTCTTAACATTACATCTTCAACTGTTATGACTGAGTCAATACCTTTCTCTTTTATTGTCTTAGCTAACTGACCTAAAACAACGAACATATAGTCTAAAATATTATCTTCAGTGTTAAACACTATACAGTTTTCACGAATTGTTGTGTTTGTTGCTGTTAAAACTTCTTTAAACTCAGGATATATATTCAGTAGATTTTCAACAATTGTTTGAACCACTTGTCCTCCTTCATCTAAATCTCTTGCTGCCATTAAAGGATGTAAATTAATTGGTTCAATAATTCCGAGACGAGGGTTGTAAGCAAGTCCGTCGAACATATTTTTACGTTTGAGTGCCCAGTTAGTTAGTTTCTTTGTATTATATGTTACTTTACCCCATAAATTTTTGAGACCGTCAAAGAAACTTCCTGTATTTCCATGTAATTTAGCAAACTCAACATAAAACTTCATGCTATCTATGCCACCAAGAAAAGCCCAGAGTGCATCTATCTCACTTTGCATGGTTATAAGAGATGCAGTTGTTACACCTGATGAAAATAAAGTAAACAACCACCCTAACCAACTCTTACCTGCTCCACTTTGTTCTACTTTCACAAAATCACTGATATGACTTTTTAAGTATTCTTTCGTAAGTAATGTGTCTCCAGGTGTAACGTCTCTAACGATATTATCTCCGTCAAAAGTCAATGTTCTAACTTGTGTCCGTGCAGCCTTTATTTTAAGGCATGCATAGTCTGGTGTTTGAGGAGCAGAAGGCTCGATGTATGTAATTTTAAAGAAATCGTCATAATTTTTCTTAAAGGTTTCATATGTTGTTTTGAATGTATTGAACCTCATTATTATATCAAGAAGTTTTGTCAATGAGTCAGCAATTGCTTCATCTACTGTTGACGTTTTGAGTTTTATTTCTGCTGAGTCGTTTATGAATGGTACTTGACATTGAGTTGTATATGGGTCAAATCCTGTAGGACCCAAATGAAGCAAGTAGTCTAAAATATCACGAACAGACTTTGAGACAGTTGTGTCGTTCTTCATGACGATTTCACCATTTACAATGAATGGCATAGTACATGAAGTTATTTGTGGGTCAAAACCAGAAGGATTGAAATGAAGCATATAGTTCAGCGCCTCATACACTGACTTATACACTGTTTCATTATTTTTTGACACAATTTCACCATTTACAATGAATGGCATTGTCGAAGGAGTTGTTTTTGTATCGAACCCTGAAGGATTGAAGTTAAGAATGCTTTCAAGAGCTTCATATACAGACCTATAAACAGTTGTGTCGTTCTTCATGACAACTTCACCATTTACAATGAATGGCATAGTACATGGAGTTAAAATAGGGTCAAACTTTTCATAGTCCTTCCATGTTATATATTTCTCAGTATTTCCATCAGAAATAACAATATATTTGTCAGTAAGTGTGAGAGAGTATTGACCAAAATATAAACGTTTAGCTCTGTCAGCTTCATACGCATATGCAGCTATACTCATATTTTAATGAGAATAAAATGTTGTTCTATTTGCAAAGTACAGACCCAAACGAATACGGGACAGTAAAGCTACAAACAAACTTAGGTCTACAGAATGAGGCGCTTGCATTCAGAATGGTTGACTTCAATACTATCGCTTCATTCGTTATAACAGATGAAACAGATTTCATGGAGATTGAAATAGATGGAAAGAAGCACGAAATAAGATTTCACAATAATGTAGAATATAAGATGGAAACATTAGCTGGAGTGTTAAATGCTCTCATAAATACTACAATAAACAAGGATAACGAAGAAAACTTAATGAATGTTAAACTTATTGCAGGAGTTTTGAAGTTCAGTTATGCGAAGGAGTTTAAGATAACACGAATGAGTCATAGAGTACAACTTCTTTTGGGTGCATACCATATGACATTTCCTTTGAAAAGTGTTGACAAAACGATTGAGATGAAATCTGTTCCATACGTATGTTATGGTAATTGTTTATACATTGAGTCTAAAATAGCTAATGTCACAGGCATTTCAGGAGTTAATAGTAAAGGTTCAGTAGAATATAAATCCTTCTGTTATGCAGTCAATTCAATGTTCATTCCAAACGTTCCTGTCATAGCAACTCATTTAGGTAAATGGGTTCGCATTAGTCCTCATAATTTGAAAGACATGCAATTCAGACTTGTTGACTTTCAAGGAGAGCCTGTAGAACTGAAGGCACCAGTGCGAATGACTGTTGAAGTTGACTTTTTAGAAAATATTAAATGCAACAGCTTACAAGAGAACTCAGAGCTAAAAATATAAAGTATGAATGTTATGTATTAGGTCATGAACTTTGGTTGTTGCTGTTTGATGAAACAAATGAGTTAGTTATGTCAGTCAAGAGAACAGAAAAATATTGTGTTAGTGAAAACTGCACCAAGTCAATAAGATTAGGTTTGCATTATGAAGATGAGTTCGATACTGTTGAAGAAGTTTTGGATAGATATTACAAATTGCTAACTTGAAATTTTTTTGACTGACGGCGCAAAGCGCCAAGACCAAAGGTCCTGACTGCTTTAATTTACTAAAACATATTTCAAACAAAGTTTATATTCTGTTGAAAGTTTTGTATATTCATTCGAATATTTATACTTAAACTCAACTCCTGTAGTTCCTGGTGTTTCAATGATGCGGATGTTACCTATTTTCATGAATAGTGGAGTTTGACCACAGCATTCGATTTCAGGGTCGAGATAGTCAATGACACATTGTTTCCCTGTTATTCGTGATATAACATTTTCAATCCTCCTTTGTTAGAATTATTTGGTTCTTGCTTATAAGATTTATCAAAAGCTTCTTATCGTCTTTGAGTAAAATTGTTTGGTATAACTGAAGAAGGTAATGGTCTACGTTATCTGAAGGATTTGTTTGAACATTTGTGTAAGGGTTGTCGTTGGCTTCTCTTGAAAGAATTTGGTCCAGTGGTGGATACTCTAACTTAACATCTGATGTAGCGTTAGCGTTTGAAGCTGTTTTAAATTCACCGACTTAAGTTCTGGTTCTTTTTCTTTCAAACACTCTGAACTATAGTTCTTTATGACAATATTGTTTGTCGTTCGTGAGTCAACATTTGATGTTGGTTCAATTGGAACATTAACGGCACCAGCTAAGATGGATTTGCTTCTCATTTCATATAGAATAAAAACCTTTTATATGTATGAAATGAACAATATACTCGACAAGGGTTTGAATGTAAAGCTAACGAATGAAAATATTGTTGAATTCACTGAGACAGGTGCTGTGTATAAAGATGTAGAACTACTGAACAAAAGAGCTAAGGGAAGAAGCAGGAACATGAACAAAGGGTGGAAGCCTATAAAAATTTATGTCAATGATGGCTCAGGAGGTTCAAACATAAAGTATGCAGAAAGTTATAGAGTTTATGCTCTCAAAGGTGAAAAGCCTTCATTTAAGAACAGCTATTCTAACGCATATCCTCAAAAGCTAACGGATGGGGAAGTGGATGATATGAATGACAGCAAAAATATTAACAGAAATGGCGACAGAGATGCATGGAATTTGTTTACCATCAGTCAATTGAAGGTTAAACTTTAAAACAATGTTGGTCGTTCCCATGGAATATTTTTGACTTTAATGGTATTAGTCATGATATGAATCTCAAGGTATGAACGAGGAGAGATGAGAGACTTATATGCTTCCCAAATTTCTTCAAAAGGTAATGTTATACCTGACTGTTTCCAAATGAGTTCAATATCATAGCGTGAGAAACCTTGAAAGATAACGAAGTCAGTTATGAGACGTTTTATGTTTAAAGCTAAAAACCTCCATGTTTGCATAAGTATTGCTACAGTTAATGGTAATGTCTGACTTTAGTAATGATGTTAGCTAATGGTGAGTCAGGCTTTGAAACTAAACCTTTTCCGGCGAAGTCGTCACAAACGAGCAGAGTGTTTGATGGATATTTTTTGAAGGGGTATTTTGAAAGTTTTGACAGAATGTAGTTTGTAAGTCGTTTCATATCGTAAACTCCTGAGTATTGACGTAAGTGGTGTTTGTCAATAATTCTTTCCATCTCCTCAGAAGTCTTTTGCATTCCTGACTGTATAAATTCAACGATGGCATAATATTTCCTCTTACGTCGAATGTAACGTTGAAGAAATTCAATGAGTTCGCTGTCTGGAACTTTAACGACAGAGGCTTGAACTTTTGACATAAATGTTTTCGCTGTTGAGTCCATAGAGTCTGAAGTTGCTGATATAATGATTTGGTCATAGTAAGAGTCATTTCCTAAACGTTCTGTTATAAGAATATGACGAATGAGGTTAAATGTCTTTCCTGACCCATCTTTCCACAATAGAAATAAACGCCATTTGAACAGAACTCATAATCTTTGCTGAAAGGAAGAATAAGAGAAGAGTTAAGTTTGTCTGTAGTTTCATTCATGTCTTCATCTACGTCATGTATTAAATGCTTCATTTTATCTCCATTAAAAATGCAAGTCAGAAATATTCAGAACATAGCACCGAGTCTAACTGACAAGAGTATAAAGATATACTATGAACACGTTATGATGAAACCTACCAAAATTCAAGAAAGTCAGTATACTAATTATGAATATCCAAGACACTGGGTAGAGTATGTAGGAGGTGAGAAAGCTATTGAAATCAGACAGGTTCGAAGTATTCCAGCAGGAAGAACAATATTATTGAAGAACTTTAATGTTTTGAGATATAATGATGAAACAAAGAAGCAAGATAGTTTCCTGTTGCTGTGTATGTGAACTTAGACACAGGAGATGACATGAAAGTTTTTAATACAAAGCTTCAAACGGTAGTGAGAGAACAACTGACTGCGGAAGGACATCCATTACCTTCAGAAGTTACCATAGCATATAATTTTGAAACAAACTCAATAGATTTTAAAGTCATCTGCAAAGAAGTCAGGTTTTACATTTAATGAAGCAGATGTATATTCGAATGAAAACTTCAAAGCTATTGCATGGTTAGATAATGACGATTGCTTTAAGAAAATATTTAAATACAGTGACTCAACGATGTCAATAGATGACCTTCGTGGAATGTTACCATCGACGTTTACAGTAGAAGGTTCAGCAGGATTGCTTACAAGATTGTCAATTGGTGGTATTTGGTCTCGTGAGAACATTGTTATAAAATCCAGTATAAGTGAATTTGCTGAAGAATCTATATTATGTCTTTCAAACTATATGTATTCGCCGCCGAAGCATTATAGTATAACAAACTTTGTCAGTAAGTTTAACATAAGACTTGTCGAACCTTCTTCAATGAAAGATGTTGTGCTACCCAAAGATGGAAAGGATGGACTCATTATTGAGATGATTTTAATAGCATATTAAATGAGCTTGTTCTTGAAGGTCATTCATGATGAAATAACTGTTGTAGAAGATGTTAGCAATTGTTCAGACATTTTGAAGCGTATAGATGATATAAGAAAGAAGTTAGATAGAAAATGAGAATGTTTATGTTTCATTGACTTTCTCCAGTAACGAGAACTTTTATGAGATAATATTGAAGAGAGATGATTTTAATATGGTGTAAATGGTAGCTTGGGCAGCTTTAGGCGCAATGGGAACAAAAGCATTAGCATTTGGAGCAAAAGCACTTGGAGCTTATGACGCAGTAAATAAAATGAGTGGAGAAAGGGTTTCAAAGACATTAGATGCAAATAAAGGAAAGATTGGAGGTTGGGTTGCAAAGAAGTTAAGATTAAATAAAATAGGGCTCATAAATAAAGCATCCAATTTGGTTGCGACTGAGTCAGAAAATGCTTTAGGAAAGGACGATGAGTTTGCAAAACACGCAAAAGACTTTAATGACCAGATAAGGTGAAACAATGCATTTAAATAGAGTCGATGGAACTAAAGAAAATGTTTCTTCTCCACCAGTAGTTTTCCATGGTCCTATGGAATGTATGGAAACCCTTACGAAAGACCATTTGACCCATTGACTGGTGGAAGTAATGGTATCATTACGGACGAAGAAGAAAGACAGTCAAGTTGGAGACAGACGTGAAGAAAGCAACTAAAAAGAAACCAAGGAAGAGAGTTATAAAGCAATGAATTCAACAGGGTGAAAAAAGAGGTGAGATCTCACCACTTCACCTAAATTTATTTTTGTGCTATGTTTTCATACGAGTGGGAGTGGTGATATCATTAATTTTTAAGTTTATTTTATTTTTACTGAAAATTTTTATTTGGATGTAAATGACAGAACAAAAGCAACTCATTCGAATTCCACAGTATAACAAACATACATTTAAACATTTATTCTTCCTTCCTGAGCATAACATGTTCTTTCAAATACATCCGAGACCAGTTGACTTTTCATTGACTGTGTATAAAGATAGAAATAGTTATATCATTAAACCATACGATGACGAAGGTAAGTTATGTAAATTGTACGTTAAGAAGTTAGAGAAAGTTTATGGCTTCAAGTATGACTACAATAGGGTTAACACTGATGATGAAGATATTGAGGAAAATTTATGAGAACATTAGTGAAGTCGTTAGTGAGAACGATAGTGAGAACGTTTATTTTTTACATTAGTGAGTTCGTTAGTGAAGTGGTTGGCGGTTTTGTAAATATTTAAGGTTAAGTTAGTGTTGTCGTTTGTGTTGTAAAATATACGTTAACGGTTTTGTAAAGTGTCAAATTCACAAGTATTGGGTAAGGAGGCGCGCAGTGCCACAGTACCCAACTAAGCCATACTAACTTTGGTAAACAAATAAGTTTCATCTAAAAAAAAAGGAAAATAAAAATATAAAAATTGAAATAAAAACAGAAATATAAAATATTTTTAAAATGCAAAAAAGTTTCATACTAATCGTTTTTGTATAATATTTATCATTGAAAGATTATTGAAAGATATTTTGAAAGAAATCGAAAGAGTTAAGAAATATTGAGAAGAAGGACAATTGAATGAATTTTTGGCCGATTGTGCTATGCAAAGTTGATGATAATTGCAGGAAATTTTGATATTTTCGAGGTTTTGGAGGGTGTGAGTACTATTATATGTAATAGTATCTCACACCCTCCAATTCATCCTATGGCGTCGAGAAAATTTTGGTGAAATGTCGTCGCATTTCACCAAAATTTCTCAGCGCCATATAGAGAACTAGAGTCTGCGAGGTACTGATTCTATCTATGTACCTCGCAGACCCTAGTTCTCAGCCAAAATGGCTAAAAATTGCTCGCAATTGTTTGCCATGTAAACCATCACTTTTTGAGGAGATTTGACATTCTGTCAAATCTCCTTTTTTCGTATATAAGATGTTGACTGTAAGAAAGGCATCCTTTATCTGAAATAGATGCTTTTCCAACAATCAAATTCGAAGATCTTCGACGTTGTTGTAAAAAGAGAAAGAGAAGGAAAGAAGAGGAAGGAGAGGAAGAAGGAAAGGAAAAGAAGAAGAAAAAATGAAAAAAGAAGGACATATTAAATATAATGCGCACTTAATAGTGCCGAGGCGGCGGAGCCGCCGAGGCGCGATTTTTTTGACCCTATATTACCGCACGGCAATGTTTTTCTCGATTTTGTACAGCCCTATGACAAATAAATATTATCATAATTAGAAGATTCAATAGTGTGAATTGCATTTCAACGATGAAATCTTTATTGTCAAACGCCTAATGACTCAAGTTTTAAAATATGATATGAATTATTAAAACATTTTATTGATTTAGATACAAAATAAGTTATAATTTTAAAATTATCATTGAAATTCGACGAATGATGGTAGCCTTTCCATGATCATTTAAATTCAAATATAAATGGTTGCATTTTGGTCTATCTCATTTCTAGGCAAACGTGTAGATGAAATTTCAATATCGGTAAAAATATAATAGAAATCAATGAAAAGATATATTTGAGCAAACAATGTTATTGCAGTGCTGTTGATCACTCTTATGTCCTTCAAGACAATAAAATACCGAAAAATTAAAATTGAAATTAGAAATTACAATAAACAATAATATTTACATCATTCATACAATATTTATAAATCAACGAGAACTCCAAAGAATTCCATGTTATTCAAAGCCAGTAAATTATCACCACGAGCGTTTGGTCCTGTCATTCTAAGCCTTACGTATCTATAACTAACATTATTTCCGCTTTGGCAATCAAATGATACGACTTTATTTGAGCCATTTAATTCGTTCGTATCTCTTTCATCGAGAATTGCCCAATTAATAAGATCATTGGATGCTTCTATTGCCCATGTTTTAAGGTGACACGAATCTTCTGAGAATTTTATGGTCTTTATCGTATATTTATTTACGACTATTTGTCTTTGCATAAAATCGAAGAGAATAAACTGGCCAGCCTTATTCTGGCTGAACCAGTAATTGTTCCAGCCTCTATCTGCTACCTGCCATGGACAGCCATGATCACTAGAACTCGATGTAATTTTGACAATTCCGTTTTCACTGACATTTCCGTTCGCTAGTTGTGCGAGTGATGATAATACACCATTTAAAGGCTCTTCAGCGTTAAAAGAGATGTTCGTTAGATGCCTATTTGCTAACGGAGTTTCAGTTTCTTGTTCGTCAATAATAAGGCTCTTCTGAGGTGATTTAGGAGACTTTGGTGAGCCAGGAACTGCTTGTTCGCTGATAATTTCTTTGGTTTGTTCATATTTATTTTCTAATATCTTCAATTGTCCTCTAAAGTCTTCGATTTCTTTATCTTGCTTCCTGCGCTCGTCTTTGGCACGCTTTTCCATGGAAACTAAACGAGTTTCTATCTCAGATACGTCATTTTTGAACGTTTTGGCTCCACTGTTCACTTTTTGAACCAAACCGGTAATATCGTCCATGAGTAGATCGATACATTTGAGGATCGTATCAACAGAAGTTGATGGACTGTGCATTTGAGAGACAGAGTTGTACATTTTCTCAATTTTCGATTCAATTAGTGTTGTTTCTGAGACATATAGTTTTGTCAGCTTAATTAAAGTATCGGCAGCAATGACTGGATCGAGATTTGGATTATCAAGGAAAGCAATAGCTTCATCTCTTGTAAGGTAATAAAAATCGATTCCTTTTGATAACGCTGATGCAGGTTTTCCATGCATTTGAAGCATTTTTTGAACAAATTTGAAATAATTACTTTGATCTTTGATTTTTATGTTTGGATTATCAACACATTTGAGTATAAACTCTAAAGGTAAGTTTGCGAACTTATCATTCTTTAATGCTCTGTCAAAATTCAATGCAATGATTTCATCAAGTCCTTCAACAAGTTTTTGATCTGTACTAAGCAATTTCTTGATTACCATACTGATATCAGGTCCTTCATCGATAAAAGATCTAAGTTCTGAATATAAAGTATCAACTTTCCAAATCAAACTCAAACTAAACAAATCATAAACGCTTTCACTTGTAATTGTATACTCTTCACCTTGTATTGCATTGACGAATTGTACAAAGTAGTCTTCCTTTATTGGTACGTCTATTGTAAGAGATGTCAAATCTGTACCAGCAACTAATTCCCTGAACTTTCTTGAATATAAAGATGCTTTGAACTTGACAACAGGAAACTTTTTGCCGCCAAAGAGAATTGTGAAATCCTCTTTGAGCTGGGATTGTTGAGAACTCATTTAATTTTGTCACTTTTTTAATTTATTTTTTTGGAATGAAAGGTCCTACAATTATCTGTGATGGACAGTTTGCTTCTTTGCTTCTCGCCAAATTCGACACAAATAGGCAGGCTTGCACTACAACAATCCAAAAAGAATTGGCTAATCGAAATACTTTATTCTACAACGCTGTTTATGCAAATCATACGTCAAATCTAGAAATACAACAAAAAGTACACAAATACAATGTCTTACTTCGAAAGTACCTCGTTTTTGCATCAAAAAGTGCTCGATCTCCAAAAAATCTCCAAGAAACATTAAGATTGCTAGATTTCGTAAGTGGAAAAATACTTTATGATAATCAAATGGCAAAACAAACTAAGGAAGAATTAAGTAGATTGGTAAATCAATTGAATCCAAAATGAAACATTATTCTGCATAGAGTTGTTAATACATTTTCATATAACTTTTATTCCAGCTGAATTAGAATTTTATATATTTTTTCAAGAAATCATCATTAGCATACAATAATGTCCTAGATCATTTAAGTATGTATATGTTTTGTTTGTACTTGTGTTTGGCCAATAAAATTTTCAATATAATAAATTCTATTTTTCAATATAAAGTATAACATTTATATCCGTTCCCATAAACTACCACTAAATCGACACGTATTCAATACTGTCAACCATAAGTAGTTTGGAATTGAAATTCTTTTTAGACCAATATTTTTTCGGAATAAATCAGTTATTTTTAGCGAAGAAAAATATCTACTAGCAAAATTTATCACCAGTACTTTATTATTTTCGTGATCGAGCGCCCCTCGATCGCAAAGTCGGCCCAAGAGGGGTTCATCGCATATAATGTCATATTGAGAAAGGCATATAAATGCCATATGTAATATTGGTTAGCTCTGATTTTTAATTTTGTGTTTTCAGAAAGAATTTCCCCAGAAATCAATGAGAGTGGATATTTGTGATCGAATGGTCGATTAATATTGGAAATAGATTATTTTGCAATCCTGCTCTAATAATTTTTAATGATTCACTTCATAATAGTTCGATAAAAATTTTTGATCACTTCACAAAATTGAAAAGACCTGACTATCGTTGTATCAACAAAAATAACACAGAATAATTGAGTATCTTATTTAAAAGCTGATATTTAATTTACAAAACCTGTGAAAAAATATTTATGTCATTTTCAGTAAATGTCTGCTCAAGCATTCGATCTCGTTATCATTGGCAGTGGCCCAGGTGGCAGCACAGCAGCTCTCTATGCCGCACGTGCCGGTCTTAAGACAGTTGTTCTCCATGGTGAAGTTCCAGGAGGCCAATTAACAACAACAACAGAACTCGAGAACTTCCCAGGCTGGAAGGGCACAGGCCCAGGCCTTGTCGAGCACATCGAACAGCAGGCTACAGCCGCTGGTGCTGAGTACAGATACGAAGTTGTCACAAAGGTCGACTTCTCCGTCAATCCAAAGCGCCTCGAGACCGATATGGGCACAACATACGATGCTAAGACAGTTATCATCGCTACAGGTGCTACAGCCGTCTACCTTGGCATCCCATCTGAAGAACGCCTTAAGGGACGTGGTGTTTCCGCCTGCGCTACATGCGATGGTCCACTCTACAAGGGCAAGAACGTTTGCGTTGTCGGTGGTGGCGATGCTGCTGCTGAAGAAGCCTTATTCCTTAATAACATCTGCAAGTCAGTCCACATGATCCACCGCCGTGACCAACTCCGCGCCTCCCTCCCAATGAGAAAGCGTGTTGAGAAGTCCACAATCAAGATGGTCTGGGACTCAGAAGTTGACGAAATTCTCGGCGAGAACAAGGTTACAGCCGTCCGCGTCAAGAACAACAAGACAGGCGAGACACAGGAGATCCCATGCGATGGCATCTTCATCGCTATCGGACACCGCCCAGCTACAGCTATCTTCAAGGAGTACCTTGAGACAGATGCCCAGGGCTACTTCGTTACAAACGGCTCTCCAGCCACAAAGGTCCCAGGCGTTTTCGTCTGCGGCGATTGCGCTGACAGAACATACCGCCAGGCTATTACATCTGCCGGCACAGGCTGCCAGGCTGCTCTCCTTGCTGAGAGATATCTCAGTGACTAAGCAGATATAAAATAAAAGGCATCGTTACTTTTAGCTCAAGTTTTGATCAAAAATAATTATTTTTTTTATAATCTTCAACAATCTAGAACTCAAAAGTTCAGTTCATTACTCCTACAAAACAGTAATCCAAATCAAATCACTCGACTAAATTTATAATTTCTAAAATTATCAATTTGAGTATCTTGATTTACTACTACACATCCAAACTATATTCTACGAAGATGACATTTTAGCCAACCATTAACATCGGTTCTAATGCATTAATTACCATCTAAGATTCTATTTTGACAATTTGTTAAAAGTATTGTTGAGAAATGATTCAATACATACTGTTTAGCGTAATCCATGTTAGTTTTTGCATAAAAACGTTTTTCTTTTTAAAATCAAAATTGATTTTGTTTTTTTTTAATGTAAAGCTGTTATGGTTTGATTAAAATAATACAAAAGAGTTTCCTTTAAATTTCAAATTACAAAAAAATATAAATTAAAAAAAATATAAAATTAAATATCGTCTTCACTTAACGGCGGTTCATCATCCGCTGGTTCATCAACAACTATTGCATCTTCCTTTTCAGAATCCTTGTTCTCCTCATCATTCTGCTGTTGTTTATTTTCTTCATTATTTTGATTTTGTTTGTTTTCTTCTTTTTGTTGTTGTTGTTGTTCATTATTAATTGATCTTGATTGTTCATTTTCATTTGGTTGTTCTTCTTCCTCGTTATAAGATTCTTCTTCATCAACAACTCTGTTTAAGTTTCCTCCTTCGCATTTAACAGCAGCAACGAGGAAGACCCAAGCAAGATACAATTCATGAGGAAGAGGAAGAACTTTAACAGACAAAGCGAATTCAACGCCATCTGCAAGTGTCAAAAATGTTCCTTGAGCGCGAACTTCATCAGTAATTCTATCAACACTTGTGAAAGGAGCAGCGAAAGGAGCACCAATAACTCTGTAATCAGCCAAGTTCTCTTCCAAGAAATGCAATGGCTCAGACATGTCGACGACTTGTTCTCCATTTTCTTTCTCGATAATCATGGCCAATGATTTTTCGATGACTTTTTGGATGTCGTTGTTCCAATTCGTTGGTTCACCACCTCTGTCTTCTTCAATTGCAGCTCTTAAATTCGCTTCGATGTCTGCTTGGATGTTCTTTGCTTCTTCTTCATTCGGCTTGTCGTAATTGATCTGTTCGTTGGCATCTTCGTGAAGAGGAGTGAACTGGAATTTGTTGTCAAAGAATGGAATCCAATTCTTCTTATTTTCCAAATTCCAATCAACTTGCCATGGAGTAACTGCTTTTTGGACATTGCACCAGATGTTGCTTTCGTTAAATACAACACCGATGCTTGTCAATGTGCAGCTTGTCTCTCTGGCATCGAAGAAGTTGCCTCTGACAGGATCAATAATCGCGATATGGTCTGAATGCTTGATCATGACGTAACAAGCGGATCCATTCAATACATCACTGCCGATTATTACGTAGGTGTCTCTTCCAAGTGCCTTTAAGAAGCAGCAAAGTAAAATTGCATGTTCTTCTTCATCTCCTGAGTGAGAGTCGAGGAATTCCTTGCAGGAGAGCCAGACATCTCCAGCTGTATGGTATTGCTGGGCATCAGGAACGAATGGAATACTCGAAACAAATCTGACCGCTTGTAAAGGAGTTTTGATGGTTTCTGGAGGGTTGAGGGAGTAAATATATCTGCATAACAATACAGATAATCCATCATCTCGTGCACACATGACTCTGAACTGTCTTGGATAATCAAATGACTTCTTATTAAGTTTTGTGGTAAATCTGTTCGCTCTTTCTCTGATTTCCAATGACTCCAATGATGTATATGGATTGGCGGTCGGTGGATCAGCGATTCTTGGCTTAATTGCAATAGATGCGACCAAACCAATGGGGCTGGCGTTCTCAGAGAAGTAGGCAAGTTGGATAGGAGGTGTATTAAGTGGGAATCTGCCTGTTAATTCGCCTGTTGACCAAACAGCCGTCATAGGTAATTCTAATGAACCCAAAAACCTCTCTTCAAATAGATTTTGGCTGAAATCGACCCTGTCGAATAAGTCAATTCTGATCAGTTTCGAGGCAACGTCGTTCATTGATGGAATCTCTTCGCCTTCGTTGACCAAATTGAATCTGATAAGCTCGTTCCAGTCATTATCTGCAATTCTTGTTAATCTGACATCGTTATCCAAACAGATTCTGACAAATAATTGATGTTGAGCGTCATCATAATCAGGACCAAGTCCAAATTGTGTTCTGAGAGGGATATTCAAGGCTCTGACAACACGGATAACAAGTTGGGAGTACTCGCAAAGAGAATTAGTTGGAATTCCATCTTCTGGGACAGGATGCAATGGTCTGCTCTTCCTGAAGAAGTCTTTGATGGCTCTCCAGATGGAAGATCCACTTGGTGGCTCGATTTCTTGGATAATATTTGCTAATGTGAGCTGATCATCGACTTTCTGCTCTTCAGTGACCATCTGCTCTTCTTTGAGTCTCCTCATCTCTTCATCTATCTGTTGTCTCTGTATTCTTATGATATGCTGTTGGATTTGTTGAGTAATTGTAGAAGGAGAGAAACTTGAGAAGAGAGTTTGCTCTTGTAATGGGTCTAGTTTGAATCTCCCTGCTACTCTCTCTTGGTTTCTTTGAGCTTTGACTCCGGCCAACATTGATGAGACATAAGGATCATTTGGATCATGAGTATCAGCCCATTCAAGGAGTTTAGGAACACTCATGAATCTACTTGGATCCTGAGCAAGTTGTTTCTTGGATTCTTCGTCGGATGTCGGTGGTTTGACAAGAATTCTTTCTTGAGGACATGGCATCACAAAACTTCTTGCATAAACAGTACCAATGGTCATTCTGCCCTTTCCACTTGGCGGCCGAGCTGTAAATTCGTAAACATCGTCAACAACTGGCATACCGACAGATGTAGCAAGATTTACAACGGCAATCTGGCGTGGTCTGACGTATCCTGTTTCCCAGATCTCGCATATTACGTTTTCTGGCACTTTTGTAACTTCGACTTCGATGGCCAAATCTGGTAATGCGACAAAATCACGGGAAAGAGGTACTTGTAATGAAGTAATATTAGTTTCCGCGCCAATCTTAACACGAACGTAGATCTTTGCTGCTTGTAATCTTTGTCTTCTCTGTTTTTCTTTTTCTGGACAATTAACTAAAGGAGTTACATCCTCGTTTTCTGTAAGAACAGGACGCCAAAGAGGATCTCCTGGGAGATGTAATCCAAGTTTGGCATGATTCTGACGAAGTTCTTCAATAACAGCATCAATTTGTTTTTCTTCACCATTTAATTGGGCATAACGAACAATTTCTTCTGCGCGATGACCAAGATGATTCTCAAAGTTCTGTTCCTGCTTTTCTTTCTCAGCTGCTGTGAAATTTCTGACTTGCCATTTAAGACCAAGGCTGTGGATTCCGTATCCAACAATTCTTCTGTAGTCTTGTAATTCTTTATATGTTGTTACGAGCTCTTCGCGTTGTTGACGAAGAGAAGCTTCAGCTTTGTCTTTTTCTTCATGGAATTTAAGAATGTCTTCAAGGAGTTGGCGTTCTTTAGCAAGTCCTTGTGGAGATTCATCGCATCTTGCCATCTCGTTTCGAAGAGCTTTTATTCTATTCTTGTAATATTTAGCAATTGGAGCATCTGCGTCTCTCATGATAGCATCATAAAGTTGTCTAATACGGCTATCAAGTAAATCTTCGAGAGTTGAAAGTGGATGTGTAAGAAAAGTAACTTTTGGAATTTCAATGCGAATCATTCTTGAAACATCGACATCTTGAACACCCCAAACTGCTGCTGGATTAAATTCGAGTTGATCTTCTGGTTTAACTTCCGGTTCCTTTAATTGATCGCCTTTCTTTGCTTTTATTGGAAATTCAGGAGAAATTTCAACAACATTAGGTGTATCATTTCTCATATTTCCGTCTGCTCCGAAGAAGTATTGCCCATTTGGATCATCCCAGAGGAGACGGTTTTCTAATCTCGTTTTGTTTCCTTTTTTAACTAAAGGCTCGTTTGGAACAAAATAGCCTTCAGCGGCAATATCTCTGCCACCAGGAAGAGGAGTTTTATGCTGTACTTTGTCTGGCAACTGATTTGCTTTAATATACATATTTTTCGCAACATCGTTCGGAGTTTTTTGTAAATGATAGCACTGCGCTTTTGATATAACAAACTCTGTATCAATATCTGGTATTTCCTCGTCAGGGTTCTCTAAACGATTGTTACTTCTTGCAGTTTGGTAACGAGAAACTGGATGTGTAGACATTCCACCAGGAGATGATGGTACAGAACCGTGAAGATAATATTCATGCGTAATAACTGTTTCTGTTTCGATTTTACCTGAAATGAAATATTGTTTATAGCGTGTTTGAGTTTGTGGATCACCAGGAGGTGGCTTAACTGGTGATAGAGGTGGTTCTGCGCCTCCACCAGCTGAGCTGATTCCCATTGATTCATCTAATTGTGGAACAAAAGGCAAAGTTTGCTCTATTTTGATGTTAGGAGCGATAATATTGCCTTGGCTCATCTGTGTTCTAACTCTGTCTAACAGAGCTTCCGAACGTACAATCACATTTTCATCCGTCGACATTATTACTCTCCTAATTTTTTAACGATTTTGGAATTTTACACTTGAATTTTTATATGGATAAATTTTATATAATAAATAATATCGTATGCATATTCAATCACGATTTATCTTGATTTTGCTTCTGAATTCCAAATATTTATCAACGAGATTTTTGAATTCTGGAATTAATGAATAAGACATGACACATTCTTATCAGCTCATTTTAACTTAACAATATGACACGTTTATACACTTATATATGGAAATAACAATCTTTTATTTTTTCTATTGAGCACAAAAAGCAACATAATTCCATTATTTGGCAATATTTCCTCGACTAACGAAGGATATTTCCTATCAAATGTTAACTTAGACTATGATCTTCAGCTCAATTGATTAATCAAAATATCAACGATTTCATTTTGCTTACTTGCTCTCTTATATCTGTAATACTCAATGAAGGCAAATGCAAATCATTGTATTGATAAGATCAAACATTTTCTTGGTAAAAGCCAACAAAAAAAAATATCATGACTTATGTGAGTGATAGCGATGATAAAGAGGAGTTTTCCCAGAGTGAATCAGAATTAGATATCCAAACAGAAATTTATCGGTCTCCAAGATTGTTTTATGCAAATATTTTACCTATTTTACCATATTTTACTGTATTAATATTTTTAATAATGCTTTTTATTGGAAATTTCAAATTCAATTGTTCTGTTAACAGAGCTTTTCATATGGGTCCAAGTAAACACATTTTCAAGATAATTAATAAAAAACGTATCAAAATTGTTGAAAATCCAATAGTTAAATATAATCACAGCTGCAAGTATACTTTATACAAAATGCAAGACACCATCTATTCTTCAAATCAAATCAATAAATTAATAACTTCAATAAAAAAGACAAATGAAATGCTTCACGAATCTGAAATTGAACAAGAAAGTCAGGAAAAAAATGACCTTTCATATGATATCAACTTTGATCCATATGCAGAATATGATTAAGACAAATTTAATGCAATAATCGACATAAACATCAAAATAACCGAACAAATCTAGTTTACACTCTCACGAATTACTCTGATTCTTTCATATCCTAATTTTGAAAAATTCATTTGTATTTTTTTGAAATCGAACTATAAGACTGGTTCTTAAGTTTAAGATTACTCAGATACTAACTAAAATAAGTTCTATTTGGGATTCATGTTGTCTCAAATTTATCAAAATTTTTGTAATTACCTTTAATTTAACTTTAACTCTGAGTATAGAATTGCTCATCTGAATAAATACTAATTTTCATACCTTTCAGTGCTTAAATTTTTCAAAATCGAGTTCAGATTTCGAATTTTTAAAATCTCCCCATAAATGTGTTTCGAAATCAGAATTTTTATATTGTACAAGTCAACCATATTCTAAATCAACAAAAATCGATGATTGAGTCAAATCCAAAATCTCATTTATCGTTCAATGAATTTTAGTGAAACTCAGATTAACACTCTGAGGAAAATATTTGATGAACAAGCACAACCCGGGCAATCGTCAATAAACGAAGAAGGTCTAAGGAAGCTACTTATCGATCTTGATATTGATGAATCATTTGCTCCACCAATGTTACGAATTATAAGTGGTTCCAACAATAATGGTAAAATAGAATTCGATCAATTTTTGACATTTTTTCAGATACTACTTTCCCAGAATATTAAACAATTCTTCGAGCTACTGTTTAACGCTATTGATGGAAATAGCGATGGAAAGTTATTAGCTGGCGACATTGTTGAGTTTGGCAAACTAATTGGTGATGAGATTACATCCGAAGAAGCAGATCAGATCATTATGCAATGCGATTTAGACAAAAGTGGATCAATTGAATTCAATGATTTTTGGAAATGGTTTAGCGAAGAAAGATAGTTCTAGTAGAATAATACAAAATCAATACCAGATTCATTAATACATATTATTTATTTTAATATTACTATAGATTGTTTGTAATTTTGAATAAAGATATATTTTCTAAATATACAATCACATTAATTTCGTTTTAGAACTTCGTACATAATATTATATAACTATATAAGGATAAAAATTAAAATTCAAAAAATCATATTTAAATTTAACGAACTGTCCATCTCCATATACAATATCACACACAGAGAAGAGATGTTTACTAGGAACACAACTATTGTAAGTGATATTGCTTATTATTGAGTGAATATTTCTTGAAGAAATAACCTATCAATATAAATTTAATCAAAGAGAATTGAAAGAATAATTTCATCCTGCGAAGTATTGACGCAATGTATAATAGTTTCATCAATTGCTTCTTGTATTAGAATCCCAGAGTGAAGAAGAATCTTCTATAAACATCTGGCCATAAAGGAGATTAATAGTGCAAATTATTTCATTAGAGGGAATATTAGCAGAATCATGGAATATTATAAAAAATAATCAATATACACCGCATGATTTTAATAGCAATGTGAAATATACAAAAAGGATAGATATAAAAATTTAGTTCAAGTTTTGAGATATCAATGGCTGTGTTGATAAATCTGGTTTTCCGCCAGATTTGCTCACACAAAGTATAATTAATAAAATAGTAAACAACAGAATAACAGCAGAAATTGTTCCAACTATAATTTCAACATAAAACATGTTGAAGTATTGCCCATTATTAATAATTTCAACAGCTTTGTTGATTGCTAGACCAGTAATAAACTTTAAATCATCTTGTCTTGCATCATAATCCGGCTCGAAATCTTCAGCAAATCCAGCATTTTTGATAATAAAAGCAAATCTATTATAATCTGTATTATTTGTTGTGCAAGAAATATCTATATTTTGATCGTATTCGCCAATAGTGAAAATAATGTTTTCAGTTTGTGGATCAGTACCTAAATGAAGTCTGTTGAATATATCTGGATCAGGAAGTGTTCTTTCGAGGAATCTTAAGCATATTTGATCATTGTAATACGATGAATTTAATAATGGACTCCTTAAATTTCCATTTGAAACAGGAAATCCGCCCAAATCATGGCATTTCAATTGGAAATAAGGACGCATTGGACCATATTCAAGTCCTAGTTGTGGTCTAAGATCGTAGAATGAGTTATTAGTGAATATTTTTGTGTAATTTGAAAGTATTTTAATAAGTTCAGTAGCAAAGCATGGTTTAAATTGATGTAGTTCCTTACACATATTGTTAATATGTTCTACGTTTGAAGAATTCCTTATTCCTCGAGACATTGCCTCAGAAAACATGTATAAGAAATCTACAGTATTATTCATGAAATTTTCAGCGTCAGGGATACTGAAATTCTGCATCATGTACTTAGTAGATTCGTTTTTAGCAACGACAACAGTTTCAATTGTATTATACACATCATGCATCACTTTATAACAATTTGTTGCTTCAATAGTAATATTACCCAGGAAATAAGCTTCCTTTTGATCGTATTGTGTAAATGTGTTTATGGACACTAATGGCGCTGATGATGCCCACGCTCCTAAGTAAAATCTCTTAAATCCGGTTGAAGCCCACGTAGCCAAGCCACCACCGTATCCTTTTCCCATAAGGAAGAACTTGCAAAAGTCAGGCTCGGTACAGTAATCATTGCGAATCTTTCCTTGTAAAACAAAAGATTTAATGTCAAGAATTGCTTGAGGTACTGAACAGTATTGCATATTAAATTGGGACATATTCACAGTCGGAACTGATTTTCCAAAGTATCTATGCTCAAGACCGATAATAACTGATTTTGTTTGACTTGCAATTTCAAGAATTGGGCCTGGTGTTATTTCGTTTGGATCTAATTCATTTGCTCCTCCAAGATAAAGAATGATGTTTCTTGATTTATTTGCGTAATCTGAATTTACAAAATACCTTTGAGTGAAATAAGTCGGTTTTCTAGCGAAATGATCAACCATTTGAGTATAACTAAGCGTTTGCACAGTACTCCTAGCTATTGAAACGAAGGAAAGCAACATTCAATTGAATTTTGAAAATAAAAATGATAAAACTGTTTTATGGCAAATTAACAAATATATTACTTAACAGATTTTAAAGATTTTTTACTCATCACAAACGAAATCATGAGTAAATTTAAAATTTTCTTGAAAAATTCAATAGTGTTTGAACAATTTACCATTGTGATTAAGTCGAAATCATACAGTGTAATTTAATCACATCAATTAAATAGCATATTGATGGTAATTTATAATGCCACAATTCCAAAAGTATGGATTTTGGCAACATTTTTGATTAATTATGCTAATTTAGAATATGGATAATCTACTTATATGATTTTTAATATGCATTGGAGTTCAAACAATGAACAAGCTTCGTGATCTTCTTTCTGACTCTTCATCACTCACTACAAAAGTACTTGCTCAGTTTGATGCAAGTCTTTTAGAAGCAGTCAAGGAAGATAAGGATGCTGCTCTCGAGTTATTTTCTGATTATCTTTTCTCAGAAAATGCAAAAAACACAACACAGATCTTTCTTGCTCATGCAAAGAAAACATTCGATAAAGAAAACGCTTTAGACCAATTTGTTGCATTAACACAAGCAAAAATCGAAAAAAGTTTTTGGAATACACAAAATCCAAACTATTCAAGTGCAATTAACTTAATCAATATGTTCGGAAGTGAATTATTATTCAACCAAAATGAAATTAAGTTCGTAGATCATTTCACAGCCAACATTACAAAAATACCAGCTGATTCTGAATCGAATGCATTCAAGATTGTTGAATTTTTCTTCTCATACGCCAAGACTCCGATCGAAATCGAAGGCAAATCCGATGAAATTTGTGAAAAATCTTCAACTCATTCGTATTTAATCGCAAAAATACTCGAAAACATCAAAAACATTGATTCATTTGATGCAGTTTTTGCACTTTTAAGGTGTTCAGCATCATTATTCAAAGATATTTTCAATGATGAAATTATTGAATCACTTTTTACTGAAAAAGACTCAAAATTGAAGCAATTTTTAACAGCACATCTTCCACACCACATGATTGTCCTTCTTATTTCCATAATCTCGCGTTCAAATACCGAAGCAATCGATTATTGTTACAATGAATCTAAGAAATTGATATTAAAGAGCCACGAAATCATCGAGCGAGTCTTTGGCTTTACAGCTCTCAGTCAAATTGTCAAGTTTGTCGCTTCAAAAGACGATTTTCTTGATTTATTAGTTGATTGCATGTTCAGAGACATTGATTCGAACAACCACCTTATTACATCTACAATCAAGACCATCTTGAACAGTATTTTCAAGACGATGAAAGACGATTTGCCACGAATTTGCGCTCATATGATGCATAGAATCGACCATCTTGATTGGAACGCCAAACTGAAGACATGGTTATTACCACAGTTACTTCCTTATCTCGATACCAAAGATTTTGATCCAACACAACTGATTATTATCGCTCAGAATTTATCTGATGCAACTTTTGTGACGAAATGCATTAGATCGTATGCCCATTCTGAAGAATCATGTGAAAACATCCTCCACGCCACCATAAACTACGTCAAAAGCATTCCGATTGAGAAAGATTTACCCTCATTACGTCCTTTATTCGATCCTATGTTCGACGTCAATCCGAAATTCGTTAAAAAGGCGTTTGACGAGTTCAAGGAGATAAAGGAGACACATACACGTGTCTGGCTGATGTTTGAAGCATCAAGAGCCATTGTTAAGTCGAAATGGGTTTTAAATCAAACGGAAATTTTCGAAAATATCAAGTTTGGACTTCAAAGTCTTAACTGGGATATTCGAGCAACAGCTTTTGATATCTTTATGCTCGCGGGAATGCCACAAAACCAAGAAGAAGCAAATTTGGTTGTTGATAACTTCGAAAACATGCTTTATATGGATAGTCCGAAGCATTGTTCGATGATAACATCAACAATGAGTTGCGCAATGGAAGGATACAGTGCTGGAAAGAACAGATTTAAAGTTGATGAAATAATTAAACCGTTTTTGGCCAAAATCTTGGATATTCTTGATACCCATATGATTCCATCATTCATTACAAGTCACAAACAGTTCTGTTTGGACTTAAATTCCTTAATTATTGCGAAATTCCCAGATCTTGAAACAGATTCTCATTTATTATCTCTCGGATCACTTCTTTTGGATAACTCATTGACTAAGTCCGTAACAGAAGTCATCAGAAAGAGAATGACCCAGTCAGAATCAACAGAAAAGTACTTCAAAGAAATTAAGAACGAAAGAGTCCAAAAAAATTTATTCGCTCAGACAGATGTCGCTGAGAATGAGAACCTAAAGGTAAGAGAAGGACTCCCAGCTTCAGAACAAGAATTCAAAGAATATCTTGCAAAAATACCAAAGGAAGAAATGTGGGAAAAGCAGGTACAGATGCTCTCAGACATCAACGAATCCATTCGTGTACTCAAACACGTCATTTCCGTTGAAACAATTAAAGAATCCGCTGATCAAATTTTCGAATTATTGGTAAACACAAGGAAATTGGGAGTCGCGTGCCAAGGACAAGAAGGTTTACAGTACATTGTTGAATGTTTACCACCTAAAGAACTCACAGAAATTTGCGATAAATGGACTGACCAAATTATTTCAATTTTAGGCGGATTTGATATGAAGAACATGCGTAGAAGTGCTGCATTACCTTTAATAGCACTCACTATCATCAGAGTTCAAACTTCTGACGTAATGAAAATGAATGGATCGAAATATCAGAAGCTTATTGAAGCTCTGATCTCTTCAATCAAGACAACAGAGAACTGTACTGAGGCTACAAATGCTTTAAACGTTTGCAGAGCTGTTTTGACCGATAAAGCAACATCAATCCACGGAGATTCGATTGTTCCTTACGTCATGGAAGCCATTCTTGATGTTCTAAGGAGATTAGGCGGTTGGGAGGTTGTCGCTGCTGGAAACCTCTGTTTATCCGCAGTAATCAGAAAACTGACAAAAATCGGAACTTTACAAAATGGCAAATATTTGACACTTGAACAATTTTTTGCCAAAATGTCAAAAGTTAGGGATTCTATGATATCCAGTCTACAAGCTAACAAGCACTCTGTTTATGTTGCATTGACAATTTTGACTCAATTCGAAGCATCAGAAACTGACGAAGAATTACAAAAATTATCATTGAAACACATCGGAGATAGAGATTGCAGACTTCGTCGTGCAGCCGCTCGTGCATGCTACATGTGTACATCTCGTAATGACAGACTTATTTTGTTCAAAGAGTTAATTAACTCACTTTACAACAGGGAATCGATTGTTTCGATTCAATCTTATAACACATTGCATGGTGTGTTCGATTTAATGCGTGAGATCGTATCAGATGAAGGTTTCGTTTATGAAGATGAATTTCCAACTTTAGATTTCAAGAAGATTCCACCTTTCATATGGTCAGACATCATAATTGTTATGCAGAAGCTTAAATTAACTATCCCAGATGTCACAGACTTCACAGATAATGAGTTTACATTTGATGAGTCTTCATTAGCATCATTATCATCGTCATCATCAACATATTCACAGAGGATGATGACTGCTATCAGTCTTAGAAACTCTTATTATCCAAAGGACTTCCCAGAAAATGTAATTAAAGTCGTATTAGGAAAATCCGCACTTCAATCCGTCCAAAACACATGCTTATCATTTGCAGTACAAAGAATACAGAACAACCACAATATTAACTCAGACCCTCTCATAGAAATGATCAAGAATGAAGACAGACCAATGATTTTGGCCGATCTAATTTCACTTTTATCGTCTTCTGAAAAAATACCAAAGTCAGTCATTGGTCTTAATGAAAAATTTGAACAGTTATCATTTATATTATCAGAAGCTATGACTCCTGTTCATATTTCCATCGCAAAATTGCTTCCAAAGATTATTAATTTGGATACAAGGTTTGCATTAAGTGCATTACGTCTAGCGATCGATGAAATACCAGCAGTAAGAGTTCCTGCATCTTCTGCTCTTTCAGATTTCGTTGGCTCTGAAAATAAAATTTCAGAAATTTCTTCTTTCAGATTAGCAGCAAAAAAAATTTCTGAAATGGACAGTTCAGTTGTTGCTAGAGGTTGCCTCAAATGGGCATCTCTTGTTGATGAAAAGAGCAGAACTGACACTCATGGAGAACAATTAACAGTTTTAGTCGACGAATTCTTCTTTGGAAGAGAATTATGCAAAGCTCTTCAAGTACAAATACCATTCTCTGATAGACAAGCTGTTCCTCTCGTAGAAATGAGAGATAAATACAAATCTGCAATAATTTCTGAAGTAGAGAAGAAATATATAAATAAAGATTAGAATGATTTATTGTTTTTATGATATATAATTTTTTCATTACAAATATTATCAAAATATCGAAATTTCATGAATGAAATTTTTATTTTTACTAATATCTATTAGAATTGTATTGCAAATGTTTATATTTTGGTCGCATGAGCTCAAAATACCTGTCTATGATTTCAGATGTCATTACAAATGTTTACATAGAATCAAATGCATTCAGATTCTTTTAATATCCCCAATTCACCACCCACACCATAAAAGATTTTTTTTCCATAAGAGAAGAAATAATTGATTGAAATTAGCTAATGTCAATGAAATTCTGTCTAAGCTTTAATAGCAAGACAAATATCACGCCATAAAAGACAGGTTTATTGAGGAGATAAAAATTTATGAGAGTATAGTAAACGCCTTCCTATTGGAGATTCTTCTAAAACTTAAAGGTCAATTAATGCTTATGAATATGTGAATTATAATACATTCTAAAATACATGAATTTTCAAAGAGTTAAGATTTAGTAATCAAATATGAACAATTAAATATAATAACATTCTTAGAAACTTTCATTTCTTAAACCTTGGATGGTCATCTTTGGTCCATGATTATCAAACTGAATCTCACGGGTATCAAAAGAGTATGAGTCGAAATCACAGACAGGTATTTTGAGCTCGCCAATTTTTTCATCCTGAGACCAAAATGATTTTCTGTTATATAATGAGAGAATTATTGATGAGCGTTCAACATCTCCGTATGTGAACTTATAGTTCTTGGATTGAACTCGAGTTCCTGGCTTGAACTCAATCACATGGTTCTTGCAATGCTTTGGAGAACCAATGTACAAAAACATTAAGCCATGAAGTTTGCTGAACCTGTCTTCTTGGACATTGATGCTGAAGTCGAGTGTGTTCTTATTAGCATCGTTCAATGGCATGTACTCGCTTTGTTTGCTGATCATTTCTTTTCGAAAAATGAAGTAAAGACAGAAATTTTTATTTTCATTGTCATAATCGTTGAATATTTCAAATTATGAGGTTATTAAAATTTCAATATTAATGATAAGTGATCCATCCATAATTAATATTTAATTCCAGTAAGAGCAAAATCAATTTTGAAAGAAAAAAATTTTGACTGTCATCGATGCGATTTATATGATGTATGCCCATAATATATACCATTAATACATTAAAGTTGAGAAATCCAACGATTGGCCAAACAAAAATATTATCACAAATTTGTTTGATGGCAATTCAAAAAATTGAATGGAATATCTCAACGTAATTTTTTTGGAATTTATAAAAACATATTAAGGGTGCACACGAGAGGATCATGTAAACTTCAGAATTTAGAACCTTATTTTTAGGCATTATCTTGGCTACCTATTTAGGCTCGAAAAGCAAAAAATATCAAAAAATACAACTTGAGTCCATTATGACCCTTTCATGGAGGTAGTTTTTATCCGCTAGTATTTTCCCTTTGAATCTCTTTACAATTCGAAATCAAATTCAAACCTCAGTAGAAGAAAGGAAGAATCGACTTACTACGGTTGTAATACGAATAAATACATATATTTAATTATTTTTATTTACATAATAATTGTTTGAAGCTCATATTCCAACAAATTTTTAAATAAAAACATTAAAATGTTGAAAATGTTCATATATTTTAATAGGGTTTTGGCACTTTATTGAGGAATTACTACATACATAGTCGAACTGAACTTGATATTTTGAAATTTAAATTATTTATCAAAATTAAAATTTAACTTGAAATTTATAATTATTTAGTCATATTTTGCATAATTCTAAGTAGATTTTGTAAAAAATCAAGAAAGAAAAATTTTAACGTGCTTTATTTTTTCTTTTTTATAATAATACATATTATTATATAATTAACATATTCATAATGTTTCACCCTTTCAAAAATATAATCCTCCTCTCAAATAAACGTACATACGGGTGGCCTCTTTTTTCAAAAAATTAAAATTTGAAATTTTGGGCTCAAATATTAGAGATTTTTTCAACCTTCAACGATATATGTTGTCTATATCAGACCTCCTTTCTTTTTGATACTTAACATTGTTCCTAAATCTTAGCCGTTAAGGCTGTTCTGAAAATATTTTTTTTCGAAAAAATTCGAAAAAAATTCTTCAAATTCAAAAATCCCTTAATTCCTGAGGATTTTGGAAAAAAGTTTTTACATGAACATGTGTATATTATATGAAGTATATTGATAAGGTAAAAATCAAATTTTATTGCATATTCATCGAGAAAATAAACTAACGAATCCTTCAAAATTGAGAGGGTAATCCTCCTCCTCTCAAATAAACGTACATACGGGTGCACCCTTAAGGAAATATTAATATTTAGAGATGAGAATCAAGTAAATTTCATAATTATGATGAAAAACGTATAAAAAAAAGAAATAATTGCTTTAATTTTTAACAAGATAATAACTTTTGAGTAGGTGACAAAAGTGCATACTCTTAAACAACCGTCGGATTTCCGGGTGAAATCGTGACACACTTTCGTCTTTCGTAGGCAGTGGTGGTTGTTACAAAAGGTAACTTCGAATGTAGCGTGAAATCTGCAAAAAAAATTCTGAAATTTGAATGGAGAACACAAAAATTGAATAGTTTACGTCAATAAAAAAGAGAAAAATGAAGCCAATGTGTCTCGAACCTAGGACTTAGAGCAGCAATCCCACTGTTTATCCCATTACACTACATGCCTCTCTCACCTCTGTGAATGAGGTCAACTATATGATAACTTTTTCCCCATTATATTCTTGTGGAAAAGTGACAAATAGCAACTTTGACCCTCTCTCAATAACTTTTTTTGCATATTTTCTTTTTCTATCATGATACAATTGTTTTTGCAAATATAAATGTGAATTAATAACAAAAAGAAGAAATTGTTCAATAATGCGTAAATATTGGCATAATTAAATGTATGTCAAAACTACCCCATGATGAATAGCTTATAACCCAATGATCTTTCATTATTAATGACATACTTTTCCTGATGGAAAAATCTCATTCATGAGCAAAAAGCAAAATAAATGTGAGAAACTCATAGGATATATCTGTTCTTTAATGAGGCTGAAATCTAGTTTCAAAAATACGAAATGAACAACTGAACAACATTTTTGAGAAGGAAAATTTTTATACTTTTGAATGGATACCGAAGAATTTGAGAAGTACTCAATTTCAAATTGTATTCAATTCGAATAATCGAAGTAGAAACACAAATTTCATAGATTTATCATTTAGATGCTGATATGATATCAATAAATTACATTTTTATTGCTTTATAAAGCTTTTTAAATTTAATTTTAAATTTAAAATAGAATAACGGACTTAAAATGATGAATTTACTTCACATACATATTATTTTTCATATTACTGTGTTAACGTATATTCAATTCTGCAAATATTCATTAGTTTTTGATGTTTTTCTTCAATTTTATGCTCATTTCTAATGATTTGCAAAAATATATGTTTTCAATATAACTGTCATGAAGTAAATATAGATATAATATTAACAGATTATATTTCATCTTTAAAATTTAAGAATTAAATTTTTTTGTAAAAATGTTAATTCAAGCAGGGAACTTTGTCCAAAATGAATATCACACTAATTTGATCTAAAGTTCATATATATTTTGGGATTGTCAAATTTTTTTTCAACGTTGAGCGGGAAAAGTCTCAAAATTTGAATGACCATCAAACAAATTTGAAAGAATAATTATCGTTTGGCCAATCGTCTATTTTCGGAATTTTATTGGATAAATTAATTGAATATCAGATGTAATTTCTAAAAATCATATCGAGTCCTTGTGGTAATTTTTTGATTGAAAAATCAATTAAAAACAGTTTTGAATTTGTTGAATTAGTATTAAATATAACATACTATACAAAATATGATATTCCTTAAATTTTTAAGCTGATTCAGAATAAAAATTGAAACGGTACAAAAAAGTGTATTGTCTGAACAATTCATTTTTCAAAGAGAAATGATCAAGAATCAAGGTGAATATATGCCATTGATCGATTCTAATATCAATACATTCGATCTGAGTGTTAATATTCATGAAGATCGATTCAGTCATATGAAAGGAATGATGATTCTTTACATCGGATCACAGAAAAACATGAGAAGTCATGCAATCGAATTCAAAGCCGGATCCAAAATTCCTTCGAAAAACTACAAATTCAAGTATGTTGATGCCGAGAGATCCTCCATTGTTCTTTCATTATACAACAGAAAATCATTTTGGTCAGAAGATGAACAAATTGGACAATTAAATATTCCTCTTTGTGATTTCAATGTTTATAACACAGATACAAGAGAAATTCAATTCCAAAACAATGGCCCAAAGATGACAATTCAGGCATCAAGAAAAGAAATGTTTTAATATACAAAAATGTTATTTTGCCTTAATTATACATTTATTGAATAAAGTTTCTATTATTTATAAAAGTTATACTTTATTATTTAAAGAATTTTACTACATGAAAAGCATATCCTTCTAGCGAATCTAGTTAATTGGGTTTCCCTATAAGATAAAAGTTCATTGAATATTCGAAATAATCCTCTTTCTCATTACACAACCAAGGAGAGATAAATGAGAAATCTCTCTACTATTTATTATTTTTAAATTAGGAAAATATATTGCTTTCCGAGGCTTTCTAATAGAAATTATTCTTTAAAGCCTCATTTGCAGAATGTATTTTGCTTAGCATTTATATTCTTGATACAATAATGGTATATTGTTCAGTTTTAGATGTTTAATTTCCATTTAAATTGATCTCCATGTTTTGAAAAAAATGCACTTTCAAAATGTTCGATATAAATTCAAATTTAAATCAATTTCCTTCTCAATTTTATGGGCGGAAAGATATTGCTTGCTATTGAAGAACATAGTTATACAAATTATTGGACATAAATGCAAACTAAAATGCGTTTTTAATTGTATTTTACCAAATTATAATTTGATTGTTTTTTATATTGTTAAAATGTTATTGAAGGAGAATGATTAGCTTATATTAAACTAATACATGTTCATATTATATAATTTATTTCATATTAGAGAAAATTTGTTGATTGAGATCAATTTTTTTCGGATTTTCATATTTATTATATTATTTATAATTGAATATATTATTATTCAATTAATAACAATAGAACATACAATGATAATTAATTGATTTCAAATATTTGCTCTTCTTCTCATTGATACATACACAAAATAATTGCCAATATTATTTAATAATGTATATATCAACTTACAAATCAGCGTTGAGCGGAATGTCTCAATTTTTTTGACACAATCTAAAGTAATTTTGAGAGATCGTTTACTTGTTTGTTTGGCCGCAATCAACTTTTCTTTGCTGCTATTATATGAACTATCTTACGTCATCTAACCAATATATTATTCATAATTATAGAGGGAAACTTTGTAATTCTGAATTTCAGAATTTAACCTCGTTTTTTTTTGAATTATTTTTAAAAACTCTATTATAAAAACGACTCAATCAATAAATTTAGTTCAATAAGGATTTTATGATAATTCAAATTTGAGAAGAACAACAAAAAAGTATTCAATCTTTTTTATTTGTAATATCATTTTTCAAAGAGACATGATCAAGAATCAAGGTGAATATATGCCATTGATCGATTCTAATATCAATACATTCGATCTGAGTGTTAATATTCATGAAGATCGATTCAGTCATATGAAAGGAATGATGATTCTTTACATCGGATCACAGAAGAATATGAGAAGTCATGCAATCGAATTCAAAGCCGGATCCAAAGTTCCTTCGAAAAACTACAAATTCAAGTATGTTGATGCCGAGAGATCCTCCATTGTTCTTTCATTATACAACAGAAAATCATTTTGGTCAGAAGATGAACAAATTGGACAGTTAAGTATTGCCGTTGCCGATTTTGATCCATCTTCGCCAGAAACTAAAGAAATCAAGTTCGAAAACAATGGCCCTAAAATGACAATTCAAGCATCAAGAAATGAAAATTTCTAACTCAAAAAATTATTATCTATTAATCATAAAACTCTATTGACTAAATGTAATACTTTTTAAAATTCATATGAAAAATAAAAATGATGAAGGGGGATATTAACAAATATTGTTCTATGCAAAGGCTCTATCATTGCATGGCAATACATATGCATTTATAAAAATGGCATAAATGTTTTGATTGATTATAGATCAAATAAGTCAGTGGATACAAAAGATGATTCATTTTATTCTACCGGAAAGTTATATCATTGGAGATTTATTGTTTTGAAGCATTACCATTTCCAATCAAAGAATAGTAATTGCGTAGATTGCAATAGTAACTATAGTTAAAATACAAAATTAAATTAAGATATATAGAATAAACTTTACATAAATTGTTGCTTTGGAAATATAAAAAATTAACTTTGATTAACATTATCATCAGTATCAAACATAGAAATTTTTTCATACAAGCTCTCAGCTCTTCCATTGGAAGCTTCTTTGGTAACATCTTCTGGGAATGCTGGTGGAATCTTCGGAGATTCTTCATTTGCAGAAAGTAATTCAGAATAATCAACAGTGCATTTGTCTTCAGAGAACAAAATCAACTGGTTGAGTTGTTGTTCATCAGCAACTTTCTGGATCATAAAAGCGATTGCTGTATCTGCAATTGACTTCCTTCTTTCGTAATGGCTGTTAATCCAGTTGCTTGAATCATCAACGAAAGCATCAAATGCCTGTTGAATTGTCTGAACTTCATCTTGAGCCATTCTTGAAATTTTGTCAAGCATGTTCAAGACATATGAATCATCATCTTTAAGACATGCTTGGACTTCTTCTGTTGCCTGTATTCTGTGTGGAGCAAATGGATTCTTGTCCTTAACTGGCTTCTTTGCTCTTGTTGACACAGGAGCAGTAACAGGGATATAAATCGAAGCTGCTTCTCCAATGAATTTCTTGATTGCATCGATGTTTTCGGTCAAAGGAAGCTCGAAAGGAGGTAATTTGTTGTCTAAGCGACTCTTTGATTGTGGTGTTGTCCTTGTTGGCTTCTTCTGAGCTTTCTTTTTGTCTGTTCTTGAATCTGCAATTAATGGGAGCTTCTTTCTCGGCAAAGGAGCGACCAATTCTGCATTTACAATGATCTGGTTGAGATCCATGATGATTCTGTGAACACTTGTCCATCTATCGATCTCTGCTTGTGCGAGCATTGTATATGCATTTGAAATTACTTCGAAAAGTGTGGTTCTGAATGGTGCATTCAATAGATCCTTCTGCTTAAGCTCTTCTTCAGCCTTTCTGTCGTTCTCTATCGCTAACAACTGGTCCCTTAATGAGTTTAACCTTAAATTACATTCATCTTTCACTTTTTGCATTCTTCTCATTCCTCTTTCTACCTGTTGACAGTGCCACTGTTGGAATTCTATGACTAAATGTTGTGAATTACCTGGTCTTGAAAGGAATTGGAGCATTTCTTGTCTGGCTTTCGTTAAATGGTTCACCATTGAAAGATGAGTGTTGTTAACAAGGGCAAAGATACCAGAAATGGCGTTTTCGTACCTTTCTTCGGCAACTTTCCATTGGTTGATGAAATGTTCTTTGATTTCTGGTGAAATATTCTGTAATTGTGATGCAAGGTTTTGAATTATGACGTCTGATGGATATTCTGGTGGAGTTGGTGGTGTAATCTGTTCTGTAAGTGATTTGAGCTTGGAAATCAAGTCATCAGTTACTTCTCTCTTTTCAATTTTGATGGAAGAATAAGATTTTGCAAATGCTTGAGCAATGAGGTTGAAGTTCGTCTTCATTGTAACTGTTCTCATTGGGAATTGTGGAATATCGAGGAATGGATCTTCTGCTGGCTTGAATCTGATTATTTGGTTTTCATCTTGGACATTTAAGCTACGAACATCAAATTTTTCACCTGTCTGTGAATCTTCAAGTTGAGCGTAAACATCTTCAACGATGACTTTATCATCAACATCGATTTCGATGACTTTATCAAATGGAGAAATTTCTGTTGGTTCTGGCTTCGGTAATAACTGAGAAACTTGTGGTCTGTCTGTCTTAGGATTGAATAATTTGTAGAGTTCTTGAGCTTCTGTTGGAGTTCTTGGGAATCCGAATAAAATTACATCTTCGTTTGTTGAAGCGAGGAGAGTAAAGATTTCTTCAACTGTATTCTCGAAATCTTCTACGAAATATGGTGTCCATCCAAGAGAATTTGCAATTTGAGTTGATAATTCTCTTGTAAAGACGAGTGGTTTAGTAAGAACGCATACAACACGACTCTGACGAGAAAGAAGCTTGGGAGTCATCATTTCTGGCTGGAATGTTTCGAGAATTGTCGTTAATGTTCGAGTTGTTTCTGAATATAGAGGAGTTCTGTAGATATTTGCTTGGTATTCTGGTATTTGTGCATTATTGATATCGAAAACAGTGCCGTTGCTTTGGAAATGTGGAATTAATTCTGAATAGAAGAATGGAACGAAATTGACAGAATCTGATATCTTTTCTAAAGCTAACGAAGACTGTACAAGAACTTCTGTAACATTGCGGCTCAATTCTGAAATAAGGTTGTCTGATGTTGCATTAGTTTCGTCTGTAATTGTATTGCACATAGCCAAAGCGTTATTAACACTATTATTGTACTCTTCTTGGAGCTTCTGCGTAAGTAATTTGATACGATTGTTTGAAATAGCGAAATCTTTCTTGCGTTGTTGAATATATTGTTCATTACGAATAGAACGATTCTCTGTAAACTTCTCCTTGAATGCATATGCATCTTTAAGCTGAGATTTAAGATCGATTTCTTGAGTGGCCGGATACCTTATATATTTATACAAATAATGTTGGTAATCAGCGTTCAATTTATCATCAACAAGATCTGCATTATGCTGACGAAGAATTTTTCTGTTAGCATCAAGAAAATCTAAGCAATTTTCCTCTTCCTGACGCCTTTCTTTTAATTTTGTAAATAAATTTGGCTCATTTTCTGCCTCACGTTCGAGTCTTTCCTTTTCTAGTTGTTCTTCGAGTGCCTTACGTTCATTTATTCGCTGTGTTCTTATACCTACTTTAGGATCGACGAATAATCTTGCGCTTGGTGGATTTTTAACGCGAAGCATTGGTGAGTTATTCTTTCTAGCTGAATTTATTTGTGGAGACATGATTCTTGGGGATCGGGTAGGCCGAGAATTCCCAAGTTCGCTCATAATTCTTTAAATCCGTTAATTTTCTGCGACAAAAATCTTGGTTTACATGTCAAAAAGTATTGAATTTCGTCAAAGAAATTATAAACGTATTTAAAATTACAGTAAATCATGATATTATAAAAGAGTAGAGAGTTTTGACACAATAGAAATATAATAAGATGATCTAATAAACAAATAAATGAATAAAATAATAAAATTATTGATTTGGCGGAGGTGACTGAACAACAGTGCTTGAAACAAGTACGGGAAGGTCGTTATCGGATGATTCCGGTGGATTTTCTTGAGGAGTTTCCTGAGCAGGTGGTGGATTTGCTGGTTTTTCTTCTGGAGCGACTTGTGGCTGTGTTGCTGGTTCGATATTAGTATTCTGAGTACTACTAGTAATTTCTTCTGCTGGTTGAGGTTGAATTTCTACCGTTGGTTGAGATTCTGAAACTTTTGGCAGTTCTGTAGCAGTTTCCACTGGTTTTTCAGGGGGAACTTCTGCAGTTTTTTCTTCTTTAACTGTTTCAGCTGGCTGTTCTTGTTTAACAACAGGAGTTTCGGGATGAGATTCAATAATTTGAGGAACATCAGTAGGTTGAGGTGGAATTTCAATTGCTTTTGGTTTAATTTTTGTTTTTTCTTCTTTTGGTAATGGAGTTGGCCTTGGCGGCTGACATTTGATGTGTTCGTTAATTTCATTCATGATTCTTTCTATTTTCTTGATATTTTCTTCTGCTCTTGAGGAGCATTTTTCACTAAGTTTCGTATGCGCATATGATGAAATGTCTTTTGCGATGTAAGTAAGTAAATCCTTTTCGCCATTAAAAAGTACTGAATTTTTATATATCAAATCTATATCATCAATTACTTCATTAACGCTATTATATGATTCTGCTTGTAATTTTGCTTTTATTGCTGACAAATCGATTGGATTTTTAACAATTTCAAGATAATTGGGTGCTCCATCTTTCACTGGATCAACAGGTTGTCGAAATCTGAATGAAAGAGGTTTCTTCAGTAATTCAGAGATCAACTGAGAGCTCCAATTGAAGTCATACGATCCTGTTTTCATTTTGTCACTTTTTTGATTACAATTTATATGAGTGAAGAAGAAGAAATTGAGCAAGAGAAGTTTGATAGTGATGTTGCTTTACTTCAATCTCCATCAGATGAAGCTTTAATGCAAATCATGGGCGTGAAAAACTTCAATAACTTAAATGAAAAAATTTTGGAAGGCGTGTTAAAGACTTATAAACAAGAAATGGAGCCAGAATGCAAATATCTAATCGAAAACGATAAGATTCTTGGACGATTTGCTACAATAGAAGAACAAAAGAACATAGAAAAGAATGGATACGAAGTTAAGGATCCATCTAAGCTCTCAACATATGACTTATACAGAGAGATCAACATGATTCAAGGAGAAATCAATAGACTTAAATCAGAAAATGCAAAATCTTCAAACGCTCTTTATTTACTAAAGCGTTCTCAAGAAGGCTTAGATCTCGATATTGGATTTAGATCTGTCGAGCTTATTATGGCAAATGACGATCAAAGTGAAGAATATTTGGACTCCCAAGAGAATTTGCTCCATTAAGTTGTTGTGTTTAAAATGTATGCTCTTTTTGATAAAATCATGTATTATATTTTGTTATCTATTCTTCAATTTTGCGATTACAATTCTTTTCAAATTAAGCTGTAAATGAGTATATGAGGCTTTTGTATCGATTTACAAAAAGTTACATCGAAATTTGATCTGAAAAAGATCAGATTGCTAACGTCCGCATTTTATCGTTTTCAAAAAGGCTGATGAATGACTTAATTATGATCTGTATCATAAGTCAAACTATAATTTGCACATTAATGAGAAGAGATAGCAATGTAATTTTGTTCAAAAATCTTTCTTTTATATCTCAGAATTCTATCAATTTTTCAAAGAATTGCGAAAAATAAATTAAATGATAGTTAATTTATTGATTCAATCCTTGTTAATCCGAAGATATGCATAATTATACATTATTTACCAATATTGACAATATTCAGATCAAATTCTTTAATCAATCCTCATTTATTGCCTGGCTATTGAGATTAGCTAGCATCCTAGTGCTAACAAAGAACCACTATGAATATCTACATAAAAATATGCATAAAACCTTATCACGCGTGATTGGCAGTTTTCTCCAAAAATTTTGACAATTTTTATATAAAATCTTTTAAATTTAGATATGTAATAAACAGAAATTCATCAAAAGTGACAGCTCTCAATTTTTTGACATTTGTAAATTCTAAATTGAATGAGAAAAATGAAATAATACTAAGCATAATACAATATTCTAGATTTAATTATAATTAGGAAAAAGTTAGTTTTGGGAGTACTTTTCATAGGCATATAGAATGAAATCTTCTGAAAAATAATATCACATAAACTCATATTATTTTCTAATATATAACTATTTTATATAAAAATCAAATTCAATGATCTTAAAAGCGAAGGATAAACCTCAAAATTTACGAATATAATGAGTGGGAATATAATGCTTATCTATCATAAAACCATATGAAATATCAATTTTTGCTTTACGCCCAATTTTTGACGACAATTAGCAAAAAATGTTAAATGTTAACACTCAGTCCATTTGAATATGAAAAATAAAATTGACTTTGATTAAATGTTTTTATTTATCATGCAATTCTTCTTGCGACCAAAGATTTGAATAAAAGTTCAAAAAATAAGATAGCTTAAAAAATAATATACGTAGTGTTTACTAATAGATGAATAGTATATAAATTCTATTAAAATGGATTTGATCCAAAAAAATATATAAAATTTGATCATAAATAAAATCGTTTTAAATTACTTCTTCATTTAAATTATAACAATTATTTTTGGTTTTATATTTTTTTGGATCAAATCCATTTTAATAGAATTTATATACTATTCATCTATTAGTAAACACTACCGTACATTATTTTTTAAGCTATCTTATTTTTTGAACTTTTATTCAAATCTTTGGTCGCAAGAAGAATTGCATGATAAATAAAAACATTTAATCAAAGTCAATTTTATTTTTCATATTCAAATGGACTGAGTGTTAACATTTAACATTTTTTTGCTAATTGTCGTCAAAAATTGGGCGTAAAGCAAAAATTGATATTTCATATGGTTTTATGATAGATAAGCATTATATTCCCACTCATTATATTCGTAAATTTTGAGGTTTATCCTTCGCTTTTAAGATCATTGAATTTGATTTTTATATAAAATAGTTATATATTAGAAAATAATATGAGTTTATGTGATATTATTTTTCAGAAGATTTTGTGTTCTTCTTCAAAATTTTATTTTTTTATTAAAAAGAATCTTTACAAAATATACATTTACTTTAATTAATATTTAAAAACGTGCTCTATCAAAAGTTCCAAAAATTCAATAGTTTAGCTTTTCTGAGGTGTCACTTTTGATGAATTTCTGTTTACAACATATTTTTTATCTCATTTTTTTGATTTTGAAAAAAATTTGGAGAGAAGAACTCTTCGTTTTTGAATTTTGTCACTATGGTTTTAAAGTATATTAGACACATGTATTGATATTACTATTTTGTATATTTTGAGAGAAAATCCCTAAAAAGTGAGAAAATCTGAGACGGTTTGAGAAAATATATAAACTATTGAAAATTTGAATTAAACTTCTAATTTGGAAAAAAGAAATTTGGAAAGAAGAAAATTCAAAAATCGAGATTTAGACTCAGTATCAAATGGAGAACAAAATGTTTCTTCATATGAAGGAAAAAATTTTCTTGTGAAGAAATAGAATTTTTAAAATTTTATTGTATGTAATGAAATAAACAAATATTAAAATTATTTTTTGATAACAAGAAAATTCCCAATAGAAAATATTTGAGAGAAAGAAAAAAAGAAAATTGAAAAATATTACTCTCCTTTATATTTCATGAGATTTTAAATTTATTCTCATAAAATTGACAATTTTATACGTTTAGATGAAAATAAGTGATTTTGCTTGAAATAAAAATTATTGTTTGTTTACAGCTATCAAATAGATTTTTGCTATTTTGATTAAAATTTGTTAATCAAATTAAAATTTTTTTTTAAATATCTTAAATATCTGGATCACTCACTGATACGATGAATTAAACGATAAAAATAATACAAACTCAACTAAGTTTCCTGTCTTTCAACCAAAAAATATTGTGCAATTTAAATTAAATTGTTTATTCAAATATAAAACAAAGATGAAATAATTACAGTTATCATAAACTTTATGAATAACTCTGTAATTGGTTCAATTTTTCGTAAAAATATTTTTATTAAAATCGATAAGAATATGTTTACCTACTATCATCACATATCTATAAACAAGAGTAGAGTGATTTTTATCATCGAAACTTTTTAAAAGCTGCAAGCTGGAAGTAAAAATCTTGTTTTTTTTTCTGAGTTAGTTGTAGAACTATTGATGCACGAGTTATCATTGTGATGTAGAAGGATGTCAATGTACTGACTGAAGGATATGAAGTGAATTGAATTTCATTGCATTTCAATTTGATCAAAATTTGTTGAAATTATATGAATGTGTCAATATCTGTATGACTCTCCTTCACTTCTTCCCTATTTTTTCGAGAACGAAGCTAGCTCAGCTTTCGCTGAGCGAATTGACACTTTTGATGTCCTAAACGTACATGCTCTCAAATTTATCGAAAAAATAATACTACCTAAACTAGTATATTCTTATTTTAAATATGATATTATCCTTAGAAACCACACTAGAATATATTTAAATCAACTTTTAAAAAAGTTCGAATCCTGCGCGTCTCACTTTTTAAATTTTCCAAAAGGAAAATTATATTCTCCTAAAACGAAAACAATTTTCCGAATTGACATCCTTAAGATCAGGATTTCAAAAACTTTTTCTAAACGAGGAAATTGCACTCACAAAATCAAAAAGATGGAATTTGCCAAGACTCTTTGTGACCCATCATCAACTCCACAACAATTGAGTCAAGGCCTTACTGATTTACAGAAGAGTCTCATCATGGTGAACTTCAAAGGAAAGGATGAAGCCGCTTTGATGGAGACATTTAAAAGTATTTGGAAAGGTCTTTTAATAACATCTGCCAATCCAGCAAGTTCTGTTAGATTAGCTTCATACAAAGCTACTGGTATATATTTAACGAAAATTACTCCTTATTTTCCAAATGAGATTTGCAAATCATTCTCTGAAATAGCATTAGAAGCCACAATCACAGCGCATAACTCAGCTATTATCGCATCCTCGTTTGCTTACATCACAAGATTCATTGCTCCTATGTATCTTCAACAATTTTTGAAATCGACACCGGTTTTTCATCATTTTTCATTCATTGATCCGACATTTTCCGAATATATCGCTCAAATTATTACTAATTCTCGACATTTAGGCATAGATTGGCTAAAAATCCTATTACATTCACTTCTCGAACGAATTGATGCAGCAGAAAATCGTCATTTATCCAAAGCAGTTGCAGCAATTGTAAATCTTCATCCTACAACGATGTTTGAAGAATTAATTGATTTTATTATCGAAAATAACAAACCAATGGAGCGATCACAAGTAATTTTAAGTCATTTACCATTACTAGCATACATTCTCAACAATATCGAAGGAAAATCCAGTAAATTTGATCTGTATGAAATATCTGAAGCAGCAATTACATTATTAAACAAATCAGAGAAGAGTATTGTAGAGTCTGATTCAGCATTTCAACTTCTAGCGATAGAAAATCGATCATTTTCAGTAAATATCACTTTAATCAACGAAAACATCGAAATTTCATTACAAAACGCAGACAAAACTAAAAACAACAAAGCAAATATTTGTATAGAGAAGTTCAAAGAGAGTCCTGCCTTTTATTTGATGCCTTTACCATTTGAAATGCTGATTCCCAATGAAAACGACAGTCCTTCTGTCCGGAACTCTAAGAATACATCACTAGGAAGACTCGCAAACCACATAGAAGACCAAAAGAAACTCGACGAAATTGTTGAAATTTTGATAAAATCTGCCAGTCAACAAAACTTGGAAGCAGCGATATCTGTCAACACAGCGATCTCCATATGTATCAATAACTTACTTAAACATGCTTCAATTGATGTTTTGTCGAAATTATTATTAAATATAATTTTTATCGAGAAATCATCGTGGTACAGATCATTGAGCATGTTGAAGATCATCGGGAATATCAACTTTAAGCTGTTTATTAGTAGAATTGGCCGCCCAATTTACAATGATATTTTAGAATTATTATGCAAACTTTGTTTTGAGAAAAACGAGTCATTATATGTCACTGCGTGCGACATTCTTGCCAAAGTCATCTCCAGACAGGACGTTTCCTTTGTTTGTAACGTATTAATTTCAGATTCTTCTTTTTTCAACGAATACAAACTAGAAAGAGCGTTGATAGCATTCAACAAGATCCTACAAAAGTTCGGAGAAGCAATCCCCGAAATAGCAGCTTATTCCGACGCTGTTACAGAGTGTTCTTCGTTTTTTGAAGACGATACAAATGTTTTATCGCCAATTTTTGAGTTTTTGGCGCTTTGTAAGTCGAGTTCGAACGAGAGATTGCGAGATATAGCGATAAACATTGCGAAATCATACATTTCAATCATTTCTGGCGAAAAATGGGGAAATAATACTTCATATCAATCTCAAATTGAATATATTGTATCAATGAAGTCAATGGATGTCGTTGCACAGCCAATAGATGACATCCTGAAGTATTTAGACCCATTTAGATCAACAATTCATTTCATATTAAATTTATCTAAGTCGTTGTTACCGAATGACTTCATAATTGAACTCTGTACACGTGTTTTCCCTATATTTCCGCGCGAAATAACAAAGTTTTTCGATGATTTTCTGCCGGAATTGTCAGAATCTGAGAAATTGCAGTTTATCAGCGGTGTTTACAACAGATTACAGTTTGTAAGTGATATAAATATACTTACAACATGGTGTAACATCGTTTTAAAGAACGACGCCGTGTTTTTTGAGGAAAATCAGGTTGAAACTTTGTCATTTTTCAACGGTTTGACGTTATTCTACCGTAATACTAATATACAAATGACGTCAAGCCAAGCATTGTCATTCTTGTTGTTGAGATGTCGAATGTCTGATGATCCAATGGAAGATTTTTGTAAATTTTTGCAAAATGTCAAAAATACACAGAAATCAATGTTCATTAGCGCTTTTAATGATGAAATGCCAGGTATAGTTGAAGCTGTCAAACAAAAGAAACCAGAATTATTGGAAATAAATGCAAAAGAAAATGTAGAAAAAATTGAAATTGAAAAAAGTGACTTTAATTTTGACAAAAGTGACAGAAATGATTTGAAATCCAGATTTATTACAACAATACATAAGAAAGAGATGATACATTTGTTAGTGACTATTTTAGAATCAAAGAAATCGAATGAAAAACTTTGTTTAGATTCAGTTACGATTCCTAAAAGTTTTGTAGGAAATTTAACTGATTTAGTGAAAAACTACGAAAATGTAGAGATGTCTGTCCCTTATTGTTTGAAACTGATGAGAACAAGGTTCGGTGATTTAGCTCTTTCTAAAGTTCAAAACAATGTAAATGATGTAATTCAAATTTACAAAAACAAAGAAATTCTCAAAAAAGGTGACACTTTGAATTTATCTTCTATTGTTTCTAATCTGCCTGTTGACGTGGAATTAGTATCTCAATGGTGCCTACAAGTCATGAAAGATGAAAACATGACAAAAAACCGTTTGAATTCTGCTTATATTTTGTTGTATTCTGTTTGTTATTTGTATAGAACGATACCTCAAAAAGTGACAGATGACTTGTATTCAATTTTTGAAGGGTATGAAACACCTAACAAAGAATTAAGTTATTTATTATGTACTATATGCAACAGATCGAAAATTGACGCAAAATATATAAATTTGATAAGAAAATTTTCTCAAAATTGTGGATACAAAACATCTATACAATCTACATTGTTTTTACCATTGATTTCAACGAAAGACAGCAAACAAACATTCATTGATGAAATCACTAACATGATAAAGATGTATGTAGTGTCTGTGATGCCTTCTTTGCTTCTTTCGGCCTTGAAATTGTATCAACATTGCGCAAATGTTTATGATAATGACACTTTTTTGTATATTTCGAAACCAATTTTTGAACACATAAGAAACAGATATAAAATGGTTCAAATGAATCCACCTTTAGTAGAGTATTCAACGAATTGTTTGAAAGCTTCTTGCGTTAAAGGAATTCCTGTTTACAAAGCAATTCCTTTGTTAATTATTGATGAAACAAAACCTGCTTTTTCGAATTTTTGTGATTTAATTCCATTTTTAATCAAATATTCTTCGGTTCTTGATGATAGTAATATTCTCGAAATATCACAGAAACTTCTCGCAAGAGATGATTTCTTGTTGAACAAAGGATTGCGTTGTCTTTGCAGCCAAATTGATAAATTTAATGATAATGAAACGAAAAACTCAATTTTACTCGATAATTTACTCGAACAAATCAAACAAATTGAACATGATAGAACGAGTAATTGGTACGAGTGTTGGGTGAATACTTTAGAGGAATATTTGAAGCCAACAAACGCATGCTCTATTATTGTATTCCAGTTGTTGAAGAATAATTTCGCAAGGTGTTTCGTAGCTTTGTCTAAATTCGTTCATAGAAACAGAAACAAAGAGATTTGTGAAGTTGTTTTGAGTGGACAAGAAATTTGTCAAACAAATTCGCAAAAGAAAGCACTTGAATTACTTGCAAATGGTGCAAACATCAAAGTCGCTATTACATTGTCTTTGTTTGCTGATGATTGTGAGGAATCTGAAGCAATTATTAAGAGTTTGTAGAAATAAAAAAGTTTATTTTAACTCTGTCTTTTATTAAATTTGTTCTATATTTTTATATATATATATAATATTGTTAACTAGTTTGGATCTCATCAAATGATATATTCATATGTAAAAAAATTATACACACATGTGGTATTGGGATAGTTGTGACACTTTAATATTAATATTTTGCCTTTGAATATATATTTTATAGAGGGTATATTTTGAAAATTTTTATACTGAGATATCTGACAAAAATCATCCAATCAAAAAAAAAGATATTTTTAGTCTCGAAATATCAAACATATTCTGAAATTATATTGAAAAATTTTTAGTCTTGAACAAAATAATTTCATAGTTAAGAGATATACATAGACATGATATTTCTCTTGCACTCATCGTGAAACTAAAAATGATTTGAAAAGTTGAATGAGATTGATTGATCGAATTAATTCTCAATGGCCCCATTCTCAATCAAAATTTTTCGAACATAATATTTTGCATAATGCAGTGCAGTATGCCCAGATGTATCCTTTGCATTTATATTAGCTCCAATAGAGATAAGATATTTAACAACTTCAAGTTTATCATATTTTGATGCCGTAATGAGTGGAGTTTCTCCGTCTTTATCCTTTGCTTCTTTATTAGCTCCAAGAGAGATAAGATATTTAACAACTTCAATATGTCCATTCCATGATGCTAAAATAAGTGAATTCCATCCATAATAGCTTATCGATTCTATATTAGCTCCAATAGAGATAAGATATTTAACAACTTCAAGATGACCTTTCATTGATGCAATCATGAGCGGAGTCTGTCCAGTTGAATTCTTTGCTTCTTTATCAGCTCCAATAGAGATGAGATATTTAACAACTTCAAGTTGACATTCCATTGATGCCCAAATGAGTGGAGTATATCCATCACATGAATGTGATTCTTTATCACAGCCACATTCAATAAGTGGTTTAACAAGTTTTAAATTTCCTTTTTGACATGCTTTGTGTAGAACATTTTCCTCAGTATGAACAGCGAATCTACTTGGAGCAAGCTTTTTCCAAAGTCCTTCTTCACAAGCCTTTGACAACAAACTTAGGTCCTTTTGAGATGAAAGTAAATCAAGGAAATTGTAAATGCTTTCAAAATCATTTGAATTCTTAAGTTCTGAAATTTTCGAGAGAATTTCTTTAGGATTTAATTCATTATTATTTTGATTGATTACTATTTCTTTTTCTTTTGGTTCAGAACGGATTTCTTTATCACTTTTTTTGTTTTTGATTTTGCATTGTATTTAACTCTGTCTGAAGTTTTTCGATTTTCTCTGTGTAACCATGTATTTCATTTTTTGTTTGATTTAAAATATCAATAACGCCATCAAGTATGCTCATTTTCATGTATTTTCTGATTGATTTCAGAATTGGAATGACTTCTTCAAAATTTTGAATAGTAACTTTAGTGTTTCGAGCACATAAATATAATTGATTTGATTTAATTGTATGGTGTGATTGCTTGAGAAGAGAAATAAAATCTTTTGACGTTAAATTTGACTTTTTCAAGATTTCTTTGATGTCGTTTATTTCAAACACATCAAATAGCTTATTTTCGTCAATGTAATCACTGACATGAGCTGCAATGTATTCAAAATTATGAATAATCCCTTGGCTCATTAAAATTATGAAAACGATAAAAATCGTAAAAAATAAGAAGAAACATGAACAATTAGTGCATATATCATATTGATTACAGCATGCATCTACCTTGATTATTTTAGAAGATCATAATATATCTCAAAATCAAAAGAAAGTCATTTTATGATTTCATACGCACTATTACTATACTTCATATATCAAGCATAATGGGAACGACTTTGGCCTTTATCTTTGTTGTCTACGAAGTTCTCCCCTTTTTCGGTTACTTGGATTAATTCTTTGATATTACATTTCATGATATTGAAATTCAATATTGCATTTTTGACGAAATTTAACAATCTTCAGGTTTTACAACTATAGAAGTGATTTTGTTTCGAGCAATCTCCAACTTGAGCTAAAAATGTCACACTGAGCCTGCCCAAGGCTAAAAAAATTTTTCGTTTTACATCCTTAAGATGAACAATTGTATATCTTATTAGAAAACATTTTTAATAAAACATGAGATATAATTATCGGTAATCATTAGTATCGATTTCAGTATAAATTTGAAAATAATCATTTACATCAACCAATTTATTGGAATTCATTGCACTTAATGAATATATGATATGTGTGTGAAATTTTAAATGCTTTTCCATCAAGAAGCCATTTCTTCTGCAACATTAGCTTGTACATAACCCAAAATGTATTTTAACTAGGAAATTAGAATTAAACTCAAATAAGAGAACAATAATTATTTTATTACGGTCACTTGAAAATTAAAATAGATGCACGATTGGCCATCAACTGATCATTGCTGTGCGATCGATCAAAGGCCAATTACAAATTTTCGAACAGAACAATATGGTAAAAAAGGGGGTTGGCGTCCTAAGGCGTCCTAGTGTAAATTTCTCAAAATTGTGATATTTACATCACATTTTTGAGAGGTTTATGGGCGTCCTAAGGGAAAATTGAATAGCTAGGGCGTCCCGAATTTTCATTCTAAGATTTAAATATATTATATACTTAAGTATAATACAAGCAATATAAAAATTAAATTTTTATTATGTTAACTTATAAGAAATTTTTTGAATTATCGTTGATTTATTGTAATCTTTCCAGGCTATACTTTTGAAATCAACTTTACCTGTCATACGCATTAATGTAGTAGATGTCCAGGTGTAGCTATTATATCCCAGCAACATTGGTATTTTATCATTGTAAGATATCAAAATGAAGCGTTTTTTCAGATATAATTTTTCGTAAATTTTTCAAAAATAAGATGGTAAAAAAGCCTCGACTTGCTCGAAAAATAACAATTTTTTACTTGTAAAAATAACCCTTTTACAGCATGGGCAGCTATTCAATCACTATTTCTTTTTCTAAAAGTATATTTTTCAAAAAAAATTAAGATCAAATTCGACAATTTCTTGATGAAAGCAAAAATATTACACATACTTCTAGATGCATGGGATAAAATATGCAATTATTCAATCAATTCGCATGATTTGAAAAAAAAATCTAAATTTGATAAAAATGTAGAAATTTTTTAGAGGATGTTTGATTGTCGTCTAGAAAAAGTGACAAAATTATTATTGTCGTCAGACGACAATAATAATCTTTGATTTAAAATTTGTACAATTCATTTCTGACAATTTAAATTAGATAGGAACATGCGCTATTATATATAGAATCGTGTTGATATGAAGTGGATGTATTGTTGTATATCATGCAACTTGATCACATTAGATTAAAGTTGTTTTTGACATATAGCAGATATAATTCATAAGCGCATATCGGAATACCTATAGTGATGCATAAAATATAGAAATGAATGCAAAAACACATATTTTAATTTTTGGAGATTCTTTATCTAATTTTATTAAATGGTAAGAGATGTGTTTGACATTGTCATATAATTGTGTTAGATGTTTATATACAGTTTTTAATGTGTTTAGTTGTGTATCTCAAAGAAATAAAAAATGGAATATATTGCAAATCTCAATTATAATAAATGGTAAGGTTTGAGTAATAGTATCAGATCTCAGAAACAAAGATGAGTTATGTTCTAATGTGAATAAATGATAAAATAATAAAACCGAGTCAAATGGATTAATTTTATACATATATATATAAATTTATGGTTTTATGCTACACATAATGAATATTAGTACTCTGTAACCTGCAACATGTCTTCTCTAAGAAAAAAATCAAGTATTATAACTCCTTCTATAGAATATCATTGCAAAATGACTTTTTCTTGTTCATTATATGTAAATCTGGATTAGCTTTAGTTTTATCACTGCAATATTGGTTTTAAAGGATCTTAATTGTTCCAAAAAAAAAATCGAAAATCGAAAAATGATATGAAAAGTTAACTTTTAACATTCATTTTTGAGAATAAGTTGATTTTAAAACCATAATATGTTTTTATTTTATATCAAGTTAAGACCTTCCTTGTATCAAAAATCATTGTTTTTATTCGAAAAAGACACTTTTTAATCAAATTTATGATTCCGGGTAAGGAAAGCTTACTAAAAGAAACTGTTCCTGAACTCATAAAAATACATCATAAATTTGAGGTTTATGAGCTTCCCAAGCCAATAGTAGATGTAGATTCGATATTTAGAACTGCATTCTTACCAGAAAGTATTAAAGCAATCAATCAAAACAACAAAGAAACAGACGAAAATCTTGTTGAAAGCTTAATAGAGTTTCCCTTACCTCCGATATTTAGAGATGAAGATGATACAAATGAATTACAAATAAGCAGAAGACAAAAAAGATAGAAAAATCAAAAATGCATCCGCCTATTATTGGTACTATTGACTCCCAAAATGCAAATTGTCAAAATTCGGACTTGCCAGTAAAAATAAATTCAACAATAAATCTTGGAGAATCAGAAAATGGAAATCAATATAATCATCCTAATCAAACAAGATCAATATCTGTCGAATTTTCTCAAATACTAAAAACTTTTGATTTAAAAATAGATGCGAACACGCAATTGTATAACGATTTAAAAGACATAATTTCGACTTCACCTCATGATTTAGCTCTAAAAGGTATGAATATTACATCAAAGAACGGTTTTACTTTACATTTAGCTCAAAATGGCATCTCATTGGTATGCTCCGGCAATAGAGGATCTAGATGCAGAGCCAAAGTCAATATCATTCAAACAAAAGAGGGAATCTTTAGATTTCAATTTGAAAAAGGTCATTACCAATCATGCTTAGGCGTAAAAACCTTTCCAACATCATATATTACAACAATTATCGATTCTCATCCAGATGTTGTCGATTCTTGTACGCATGCTCAGTTTTATAAAAATCATATTTTAAAAAACGCAAGTTCGGACGATATAAGTTATCAAAGAGTAAATCGTGCATGTAATAAATTGCAATTACGAGATAAAGATTCGCGTTACGATAAATTTACAACAATTTTATCTTTATTAAAATATTTGAAGGAAGAACATGGTGCAACAACTCAAATTATTCTTTCAGATGAAATAATACCAAGAGATGATTATGATAATATCATTAAAAATTTTAAAAAAGTCGTAATAAAACATTTTGCAATTACACCTTATCATTCAAAGCTTTTATTACAATCCAAAGCATTTTGTGGTATTCTTCTCATTGATGGAACACTTATTTTTGGAATTTGTGGTGGATGTTTTATAATAACTGGAACAATTACCCCAAATAAGAGATTTATTCCACTTACTTTTGGTTGGAGTTATTCAGAAAACTCAGATGCAACATCACTTATTCTGGATCAGCTTAATACATGCTCGGTGAAAGATTCAGTCAAAGTAATCTTTTCAGATCAAGGTACAGCTCTGAAAAAATCAATTCCAAAAACATTCCCTCTTGCCGAAGAAAGGGATTGCATGTTCCACATTACTGAAAAAATCCTAGATTCTGAAATTTGTCAATTAATCAAAGATCTTTTTAGATCCAAACATCCAGATGATTGGAATGCAAATATTCAATTACTGGAAAAGAACTTGAAACCAACAATTATTGAATTACTTCAAAAAAAATAATATTTTTGAATTAAAACAGTATGATGCTGGACTCATAGCTACAAGTGTTATTGAGTCTTTTAATTCAATTTTATCAAGTTTTAAAAAAGATGAAATCTTTGATTTAATTTTGAAAACTTATAATTATGGTTTTGACAGAGTTATGGAATTGAAAAAGGGAGAATTTACCAAGATCAAATACGATGAGAGAGTTGTGAGAATACAAAATTTTTATAAATCTCAACAAATTTCAATTTATAAAGATGGAACGCGAATTGTTGTTAAATTAGATGGGAAAAATTACATCATTACCACTGATGGCAATAAGGTTCTCTGCACATGTAACAGAATGGTGCGCTTGGGAAGATCTTGCATTCATGTAATTCTTGCTGCTCAAAAGTTCAAAGAATTAGAATTTTGTCTCGATATGAGACCATCCTATCTTGATTACAATCAATTTCAGAATGATTTTGATGATCTATTAAAATCTCATATTGATCCAAGTAAAATCCCAATAATTGATTGCATTGCAATTCCAGTAACTCAAATCCCACTTACGACCAAAGATACAAGCAGGAAAATATCATTTGCCGAACAATTAAAGCGTAAGGCAATGAGAAATTAATTTTTAAATTAATTAATCAATCATGATCGCAATTATTCAATGATGATCGTAATTATTCAATGACGATCGTAATTATTCAATGATGATCGTAATTTTTGAAAAGCGATCACAATTTTTGAAAAAAAGATCATAATCATATATTTCTTTACATTAACTTTATATATATTATTAAAATTTTATTTTAATATCTGAATAATGATTTATATACTAAGAATAGTAATCAGTAATGAAATCCCATTGGGCATCATTTTGTCCAATGAACGGAAGCATATCATTGAAGTTAATATAATCTAAAAATTCCTCATGATCTTCAATTACAACATTTAATGCAAAGAGTTTTTCATGAACGCTATTTCTAAGATCAGCATTTGAGTATTTACTGCTTGTAAAAAGAAACAATAAATAAGATTGAAAGATTATATTTTTTTCAATAGTTTTAGCTTCATCCCATTCAAATTCACATAATTTCAGTAAGATTGTATGCGCATAATGATCAAGACTGGATTTGAAACAGAGTTTTGAAAAAATAAATAAATTTTGAAGAAATTGTAAAACAAATCTTGTTGTATTTAGATCATCTACATTAATTCTATTCAGAAAATCGAAAATTCTTTCTGGATCAATAATATTAAAATAAGATTCGCTTATTATAACTAAATGATTAAAAATATTGGTTATATAACTAAAATAATATTCATCATTGAATAAATATTCATAAAAGAGCCCAGAAGATGAAAAGCATACAGAATAGTCATAGCCATCATAATCATCAATAATTGAATTAAAATTTTTGGTAATAATGCAGAATTCTGGAAGCTCAAAGTAGAATTGATACGTTTGATTGAAAAACTGGAAAAAATCCAAAACAGTTATGTAAATATCTACAGTTTTCAAGTGTGAGATGCATTTATCAAGATAATGCAAAGATAGATGTAATATTTCATGGCTATTATGATATTTATCAATGGTAGTTAGGAAAATTTGATAATCAATTGATGATAAATACTCGAAATTCTGTTGTGAGTCAAGAATTTGAATTGTTCCGAGTACATATTTAAAATGGTATTCAGAACAAGTTGATATATTAAAAATTGCATTTAAGGCATCAAAATTTACCAATTCCGAACTATTTTCTTTTGAGCATATGTAGTTGATAAATGAGAAAACTTTAAAAACGTGGGTTTTGTCGGAAACAAGTTCAAATAAATGTGTAAATATCTTGTCGTAATCATCTATTTCTTGCCCAAAATATATTTGAAATGCAACAAATATTTCATTCCTATTAAATGTATTGTCATTGGTCTCCTGCATTTTTGGAGACTCCTTATACTCATCCCACATTGAAATAAATGAATTTTTCCTTATATATAGGGTGTCCAAAGGTGCGTTTAGCACAGCGCTCTATATGAGACTATTAAAGGAGATATATGCTGATTATAAATATATAATAAAAAATATGAATATATGTATATGATGAGTATGTTGTATTTTGGCGCCATGCCGGGATATAAAATGAATTTTGAGACAAGAGGCGGTTTCGCGGGAAATTTTGGCGGGATTTTTTTCATTTTTTTAATGAATCATAAAGAAAACATCCTCGCTCTTGCAAAAAAATGCAAAGACTGTAAAAAAATCTACGAGACATTGGTAAAATGCTTCGGTATGGATGCTCCTAGCTATTACACTGTAACGTATCATGTTAGGATGTATCACTTCATGAACAAAAAGGCGCCCATCATAAAAATTGACAAAAAATCGCCGGATCAAAGAAAAATCAAAGCAATTCTTCAAGCGCTAGATGAAGACCCAAGAGCATCACTCAGAAGGATAGAGGAGATGACAAAGATACCACGTACAACAGTCAGTTATTATCTGCACAATTATTTGAACTACAAACTAGCGTATACACGTTGGGTTCCGCACAACCTTAATTCAGTTCAAAAAAAATCTAGAGTCCAATCTTCGAAAGAGCTCCTCTCTATATTGGGTGCGTATCAATCCAAGAAGTTTCGCTTTTTAGTAACAGGGGACGAGTCTTGGTTTCAATATGCAACAGAAGCCAAAATCATGTGGATCCCGAAGGATGAAAATCCGCAAACATTCCCGAAGAAAAAAATTGACACACCAATGATGATGTTGTCGGTTTTTTGGGGCGTGAATGGCATCATCGCAATTGATATTCTTCAAAACCTAATACGATGAATGCTCAGTGTCTAATTGACAATGTTCTTACTCAAATTATCAATTCTGATGAGTTTGAGAAATCCAAACAACAAAAACAAAAGTTTGCAATTCATTTTGATAATTCAAGAGTTCACAAAAGTCATAAGGTAATGAATTACTTGTTGGAAAACAATGTCAAAGTTGTTCCAAACCCAATTTATTCACCTGATATTGCACCCTCTGACTTTTATTTATTCGGCACGCTAAAAAAGAGAGCTGAAGGACGCGAATTCGCGAGTCCAGATAATCTTGAAAATTTTGTAAGAGAGCAATTTTCTCATGATGATTTAAAGCGTGTCTTTCAAGCCTGGATCGATCGCTGCGAACGCGTGATTGAATCCAATGGTGATTATATTTAAATAAACTTTATATATATGTAACTTGTTTATTTCTATTCGCAGTATTCAGGTTTGTGCTAAACACACCTTTGGACACCCTATATTAAGGATCATCAATATTTGCATATATATGTTGTTTTAAATAATTAAGAAATTATTTTTTTAGAACTTGTGAATTTTGTATTATATATTGATTCAATAATCCAGGGAAAAACCGTATCATTTCGTCGTCGCTTAAGGTAACATTTTCATTGCCAAACTTAACAACGTAGGACACCTTATCAGGGAAAATTGAATTTTATGAAAATCCTAATATTTCGGCTCTACGTTCATTAGGTCCTTTTGAAAGTATAGTTAGCTGATATTCTCGAACAAATTTATTATTCTCTTCGAATTCTTCGGACGATTTCCATACTGGTTCTTTAATAGTTTTATATTTTACGAGATATTTGACACTTGTATCATTGTCAAATGAATGATCCATTATACATTCAATCACATACTGATTAGTGCCATCTTTTCGCTTTCTTCCTCTTTTTGACATAATTATATTTAAAAATGGTTTACAAACTTTACATGTCATATTTAGAATGATATATGATTAGTATATTAAATAAGTGATATCTGATACTTATAGCAAATGAGAAATTAAAATTAATAAAAGTTAAAAAAAATAATATAATTAATAATTATGAATAATTATTACCACAAAAATACATACTGTATACATTTCAAACACTTTTAACATCAGCATTATTTATTTACCTGATCAAAACATAATTATTCATGTCTCATGCATTAGAATAACTCTATTTATTAGTTAATTAAAATGATGTTCATGAACAAAGTTATATATAATTTTCCAAGGTCATATAAGATGAAAATCGATTTAATCAAGACAGTATTATATAATTGACTTCCACATATATAACTGATCAGTAAAAACATTAAAAAAATAAGTATTATTGAGTATAAGATCGCATTTATTGATATCAAGCATTACTATTGAATAAATGATATAAATCCACACTGTAATAGTATCAAATAACATTTTTTACATATAATTCAATAAGGTACATATAGGTTATAAGTTATACTAATACATAAGAAGATCAAATCTTAAAAAATAGCAAATTGATAAAATGCGATATTTATTTCAGAATAATAAAGCTGTTTGTATATATGCAAATAATAGTACTTTAATATAAAGACTATTTACAATGTGTATTCATAATTTTATAGGATAGAAATACATTTTGAAGATATTCATAATATATTATTTGTAAAAATATATCATATATCATTAATAACTATATAATATATTTATACAAATATTGCTTATTTAAACTATGTGAATAACTTAGTTTAAAAGCTATCCAATCCTGAGATTCGCATTGTCGTCTAAAACCGCCAGACGACAATAATAATACCCCAATTTTTTATTTTTAACTTGAGATTCGATTTTTTGATCCAATTTGTGAATTTATTTTGATCGGAATTTCAATTAATTTGTTGATCAAAAATGACCTCACAATGTTTGATCATAAGTGAAGTCATCTTCATGGGTATTTAGAAATTCCAAGAGAAATTGCTTATTTCTCGCAGATGTAATATCTGAGAAAATCGAATTTAAATATTCATAGAAACCCAAATCATTCTCCGGTTCGAATAATTCATCTGTTGCTTTTTCTGTTTTTTCTATGAATTTTAATAATTTGATTAATAAATCTTCATCAGGAAGAATTATTGCTGCATTTGTGATAAAATTCCATATTGAGGTAATATGGCAATAATTACATTTATAAAATGTAATTTTATCCAAAATTTTTTGGCAA